GCTGTCCCCGTGCGTAGGCTAAGATGCATATATATCCACACATGAGTTAGCAGAATGAGTTGGCTGGTCAACTTGAACATTGTTACTGATTGGGGTGGGTGAGGATTGTTTTTGGTGGGACTAGCATGTCACTAAAGCAGGCCTTTTGATTTATTAAATTTTTTAAAGCAAAACAAGTTCAACTTTTAATCAACTTGGTAGGTTTCTAACTTTACAGAATAGCCTGTTTGTTTCAGTGTCTCCTTCTGCTTTGCTCTTGGAGGAGCGGAGGACAGACATTTGTGTCGTTTGTGTCCTTGTGTCTTCTTTCTCCCAGCAGAATATTCCTGTCCTCTTTGGAGTCCTCTGGAGTTTTGTTTTCTTTTATAATAAGCATTTCCCACCTCCATCCCGGCTTGCCCTGCTGCTCTCTGGTTGGTTGTGTGCCGTGCGCAGCCGGTTGCCTGTGGTTTTCTCTTGCCATGACGACTTCTAATTGCCATGGACAGTATGTTCAGTTAAATAACTCCTCATTGTAACTTCCGGGCTGTAACTGCCATAGTAGCACTTATAAATCAGCCAACCATTTATAAGAAAAAATAAGAGCACCCTGCAATGGCACTGCCACTAATGATCACATAAAGGCCCAGGACTGAGGCTGCACCTGAGGCCCCGGTGGTATCCAGAGGCCATTGCCGCCTGAGAGGTCACTCCTTCCACCGGACGACATCCTGGCCTAAGGCGCTACCAAGAGCCCTGTGTGGGTCCATGGTCCAGCCACAGCTGGGGTCTGTGATGATGTCTGTGGCCTGTGTCACCTCAGGAGGCTCTAGGAACCACATGAGATGAAATCAGAGGGCTATACTGAGCCAGCCCCGCCCTTCCCTACCCCGGGAAAGCTGGCCTTCACTCTGGCTGTCCACTGCAGCGAGAGAGCTGGCCCCTACACTCAGGAGAGAGGGTCCCTATCCCTCTCACCACAGGGGAGGATGAACCTACCCTGAGAACATGCATGTAGGGGAGCCGACTCCTACACCACACCCAAGGCAGGTGGCCCCCGTGGCTCTACCTGCCCTGACTAGCTAACACCCAGGTCCACAACTGGGCCTTGGGTTGACCCGCCCTAGCATCTACCCCATCTAGGTCCCGCTGGAACTCATGAAGGGACTGGTCCTGCGGAATGATACCCAAAAGATCTCCAAGATCCAGGATACCCTAGAAGAGCTCCAGTGAAGATCCGATGAGAATGGTGTACCAAAAGCCAGCGGCTTTTCCAGGGAAGATCCGATGAGAATGGTGTACCAAAATCCAGCAGCTTTGAGCCAGACCAATGACTCATTGGAATGTGCAGTTGCCAGGCAAGATGATGGAACTAAAGGGTGTACTATAGGACACACGGAAGCCTCCAATGCCATCAGGACAGATGAGTAAGTGACAGAGACAGGAGAGAAGAAGCAGAGATTTTTGTTTGTTTGTTTCTGGCTTGGTTTTTGTTCTGTTTCGGTTTATTAGGTTTTTTGTTGCTATTCTTGCTTTTGTCTGCTTACTTATTTACTTTGTTTTGTTTTCTTTCATGGGGGATGCAACAGGAATGGGAAGGTATGGGGAGACCAGGATGTGAACATAATTGGGGTGCATGATGAAAAACCCCCAAAGATTCAATAAAGACATTTAAAAAAAAAAGAATACTCTGCAATGGTATTGAAATTTCCAAAAGTTCCTGTAATTCAGAGTTGTTTGAAGGAGGTACAAGTAAATCCATGCCAAGCCAACAGCACCACCTGCTGGACACAAAATCAACTGCCCAGATATACGTGTGTGTGTGTGTGTGTGTGTGTGTGTGTGTGTGTGTGTGTGTGTGTGTGTGTGTGTGTAAGAAGGAGGGAGGGAGGGAGGGAGGGAGGGAGGGAGGGAGGGAGGGAGGGAGGGAGGGAGGGAGGGAAAACAACAGTGTGGTGTTACTGGGAGTTAATGGCTGCTGGGGGAGGTCGTTTTTCTTCGGTTATGTGCTCACTGCTAAGCTGTTCATGTTCCAGGAAATGACGCCCCTCCCCCCTTCCCCCTCCCCCTCCCCGCCCCCGTGCTCACACAAGCAACTCTAATCCAACTCAATAAATCACTTTTAAAAGCCATGAAGTAGGAAGGGTGCTTGTTGAAGAAAAAATTGAGGGCATTAAAATGCAAAATGGGAGTAAATATAATAAAAATTCTGCAAGTGTGAAGTTGTCAAAGAATACATTTTAAAAACAAGCAGGGAAGCAACGTCCCCTCGTTGCTTCATGAACAGCAGCCCGCTGTGAGCTGGACGCCTGCTGGCCTCTGTGAGGTCTGCTTACTCCAAAGAGCTTTCACAAACACAGTTTTCTCCTGGAGACGCAGCCTGAGCTGACTATTAGGAAACAATGCTTGTCACAAAAATATTTACATAATAACCACACTGTATATGTTTCTTATCCTGCTTTTCCAGTTGTAATCAACAATGTTATTTAGAAACTATATGCCAGATTAAACAGAATGTTGTACACATGAGTCCAAGTAGACACACTCTTGCTTACTATAGATGGGTCTGCAACACCCCCTAAAGGCACCCACGCTGGAGGCTTGGACTCAGCGTGTGGTGTTACTGGTAGATGAGGGAGCCCCTAGGAAGCCGGGTCTAATGGAAGCTAGGTCACTGGGGGTGTGCTCTTAGAGGACGCGGGAGTCAGGCCCTTCCCCTCTCTGTTCGCCTGTGTACCATACACTCTCCTAGAGTCTGGAGGGGCGGTGTTTCCATGGAGAGCCCAGGCCCCGACCAGATTTTCTGTGTGTCTGGAGGGGCGGTGTTTCCATGGAGAGCCCAGGCCCCGACCAGATTTTCTGTGTGTCTGTATTGTCTTGTCTGTATTGTCTTGTCTGTATTGTCTTTTCCTCATTCCCTGCTGCCTGCCGGGGCCATCGCTGGAGCTGTGCACGGCATGGCACTCAAGGCCTTGACCCACACCTCGTTGATTTTTGCTAAATTAAGTGAAAAAATATGCCTCCTCATAATTTTATTTTGCATGACTACCATGAGTGATTTTATCCATCATTCCGCATGTTTCAAAATAACTCATTTCACCCACTCTGTAAATTACTTTTTCATGGCCTTGGCCTTCAGTTTTCATGAGTCATGGTCATTTTGCTTTCAGTGTGAAAGGATTACATACAGGCAGTTAATATGTGCTGGGACAGTCAATGATTGCCCAGTTATCTTCATGCAAGTTATTTTTAAAAGGAACTGCCTTGTTAATATGTGCGTGCATATATAATACATATAATTCATGCCTTAACATGTATTAAACATATAATATATATAAAGGAAATTATGCCCTTGAGTTATAAGTATTTTACAGGGGGTTTTCTTTTAAGCTTGCCTATCGGTGCAAGTTTTATTCACACATCAGTTTAATAATTGGGCACATTAAGACTTGTGTCACCATCCTAGTGACTCCACTTCCTCCAGATCCACTCCACATAGGGCTCATCAAAACAGTGCCGATGAGTGGAACGGGGCCCTGCTTACAACGGTTTAGGACCATGGGCACAAACAGACTCCATCACTGGATTGATGCTCTCCTTTGCCTGTGCCCAAACCATTTAAACCATGCCTCAAGCATCTTCCTGCATCTCTTTGTAGAGATATAAGCTAATATATGCTTTCATCTCTTTCTTATCTCCTACTTATGGACACTCTTCTGCCCCGAGCCGTTTCCTCACTAAGGGTGTTGGACACTCTGCCATCACCCACATAGAAAACCTATGCACCAGTTCATTTGAGCTGTCTTCTGTGGATGGAAATACAGGTTATTCCCAACATTTTGCTAAAATAGGCATTATCACAATAAGAACCGTGTGCCTGCATCATTCAGAAATGGATAGTGGACAAGTCCCAGAGTGCCATAAATGCTTTTATGGCTTCGATGACTACTGCCAGTGTGTATTGGCTAACTTCCCATTTCTGTCACGTTGGAGTTCCTCTCTCACCAGTGTGCTGACACCCTGTATCACACAGCTTTTGAATTCCTGACAATCTGATTGGCAAAGAAAGAAATCTTGACCTAACTTGGATCTGCCTCCCCTATTAGGAAATGTAAGCACCTTTCATGTGTTAAAGGCCCATTTATATTTCTTATTCTAGAAACCCTTTCTTTTTAGTTTTTAATTAGAGTGGTGTTTTTTTTTTTTTTTCTGAGACAGGGTCCAGCTATGTAGTCTAGCCTGTCCTCCAAATTGACAGCAATCCTTTGTCACATTTAGCTGATGAGGAAATAGACCTCTTTACCCTTCCTCAACAGGAAAAACTCTCTCTCTCTCTTTCTCTCTCTCTCTCTCTCTCTCTCTCTCTCTCTCTCTCTCACACACACACACACACACACACACAAGAACGATCTCAAGTGTGCATGCACAATCTCTCTCTCCTCCCTCCCCCCCTCTCATGCACGCAAGTACACTCTCAAGCGTGCACACTCATGCACAATCTCTCTCTCCTCTCTGTCTCTGTGTCTGCGTCTCTCTCTGTGTCTCTGTCTCTCTGTGTCTGTCTCTGTCTCTCTGTCTGTCTCAGTCTCTCTGTCTCAGTCTCTCTCTGTCTCTCTGTCTCTGTCTCTGTCTCTCTCTCTCTCAACATTCCACCCCACACCCAGTCAGGACACCTTCCCCCACGCCCATCCCTTCATTAAGAAATTTGGTTTGCAGCCAGGCGTTGGTGGCACACGCCTTTAATCCCAGCACTGGGGAGGCAGAGGCAGGTGGATCTCTGTGAGTTCGAGACCAGCCTGGTCTACCGAGCAAGTCCCAGGACAGGTTCCAAAACAATACAGAGAAACCCTGTCTCCAAAAAAACAAAGCAAAACAACAACAAAAAAAGAAATTTGGTTTGCAGCACTGCATATTTAGTACCCCAAGACCAACTAGGATTTTAGCTATTCCCAATACTGCTGTTAAATGCCTGACTTCCGAAGGATATCATTGTTAGATAAACTTTCCAAACACATACAGGATTCAAGGGAAGGGAATGTTTATTTGTCATTCATCTTTTTGATACAACTATCATAACTTTACAGGTCTGATAGAGCAGTAAGCTTGATTGACAGTATTTCCAGGAGTTCACAATTTCATGGCTAAGGTTCCAATCAAGGTAATATGGTTATTAACTTAATATAAATGAAGCTTTAAAAAAAATGTTATAAAAAGCAATCTGACCTCTTTATAGACAGTATTGATAATTCAGACATTAGACTTAGAGACAAGTGAAGGTAAGCACTAATGTCAACAGGAAGATCAGAAGGATGTGCCACTAATGTCATCTATGACACATTTAGTTGTTAACATACTAGTGCAGTAAGGCAACACATTTGGTCATTAGCATACTAGTGTGAGTAAGGCATCCAGTCAGGCATGAGAAATATAAGCATGGCTGCATTTGCTGAAGGAAGCTGCTGGAGGCGGCAGGCAGAGTACTCCAGACAGCCAATCCCTCAGTCATCTTCTCCTCCACAGAGCAGCAGCAGGGTTTTCTTATAGTCTCCAGATGTGTCACCCTGGAACCCAAACACAGTTATTGTGATGACTCACAAAAGCCACAGGGAATAAAAGGACAAGAACTATCTGGGCATGAATTGTATTCCTATGACTTTTCTCTCAAATGGGTAACTTCTCTGCGTGAATCTCACAACAGGAATGCTACACAGGGAAGTTCCTACCAACTTTGCTTAGTTTAACTTTCTAATTTTACCCCTCAAAGGCTGTTCTCTTAACAGCAGTGGAATGTGTTCTTCCACCTAGAAACAGAGAGGGCAAGGAAAGTTTTCCAAGTATGTTAAAACCATCAAGCAGTCCAAATAGACGCCCAGTCTCTCTCAGGCTAACAAAGGTGGAGCCCCACATGGGTGCTGTGGCTTTGACTCAGAAACAAGCACAGAAGATGCTTTTCTCAAGCTTGCCTTGCATATTAGTATGTGTGAAATACTGGTGTCGTAAGTGTACCAACTCTCAGGTACCCTTCAGCCCAAACACACAGACCACGCACACTAAACCCAAAGTTTTGCTCAACTGAAACCCTGCTCTACAGATGGTCCATGGTAGTTTGCCCCACAAGAAAGACTGTCAAAAGACCTGTGGCCAAATTTCAAAGTCACAGTAGGCTTCCCTTTTACAGTGAAGCAGTGTTACCTTGGCCCCTTGCTGCAAAAGTGACCTGACACCAGAGAAAAAGTGACAAAAAAGAGGCATTCAAATAGACAGTGGATAGTGATGAACACAGAAGAATACTTCTAAGCACGGGCTTGGGTCTCTTGGGCCTTGGCCATGCCTGTAACCCTATCTCCCTTCGTCCCCTCAGAATCCCTGTCTCTAACCCAACAGCACAGGAACTGGAGAATTCTGTCATCCATTTCCTGCATGCTGTCCACTGTCTGACTCTGGGTTTCTAACGTAAGACAGTTCTACCTTGATCATAGAATACAGAGAGGTAGCGAAGTTCTTCCTAAACTCCTTCCTGATGTTAAACAGATCAATCTCGCTCCTCGACACCACGACTCTGATGAGGGTGTGATCGTCGGTCCCAGCACCCTTTAAAGGAGAAAGAACACAAGTGTTAAAAGTCTTCACATACAACATCAAATGCCCCCGGTTTGAGTCACTTCAGTCTAACAGTTTAGTAAAAACAGGCTACACATTTGGAGATGTAAAATGCTCAGGTTGCTGTCTAAAATGGAATCAGACAGACAAGGATGCATTCATTAGATAGAGGGTCTACAGTGTCCACTCACCTTCATAGCATAGTAAAGGGTCTCTGCAAGGTAGGCAGGTATGCTCCGAATAGACTTCACTAGGAAAACACATAATACAACTGTCAGATGCTATTCTAACACAAGAATGGCGTAGTCACAATGCAAACACTGTCTCATGTTCTCAACTCTGTTTCTAAGTATAAGAGTGAGATGTGCTTTGGGGGGCTCATCTGCAAGCTTCTAGGCTTCCCTCACCAACTACTTCCTTAGACACTCGCCTGGTTCTCCCCTAAGGTCTATGCAGGCACAAAATGGCACTGCACCAGAGGCTTGGTCTCTGTGCTCCTTTGTTCTCTGCCGTTTTGGTTGGCACCTGGGTAGTTATCATGCCACAGCCCTCATCACTGATATGTTATATAAGTAGCTTGGAAGTTTTCTGTTCTAAGATGTTTAATCAAATGATACAAGAACACATTATAATCTCTGCAAGCACTTGGACTGACTTTCTGTATTCTCTCCTAATCGTCTAAACTAAAACTCACAATTCACATAAGAGCCCGCATGTAACCATTGCAGTCCAGACACTGGGCCAGGCTGACAGAGAAGTGTCCCTCCTCCTCCCACCGCACACACTTAAGGCTGTGCAGACCACAGCCCACTCAGCAAAGGACACCCAGCAGTATAAAAAAATGACAATCCTTAAGCTGCGAGGTTTCTTAACTCTTCCTTGTCAAACACTGAGAAAAACATCTTTTCTTGCAGACTGGGAAATTATCAGCTGGCTAGGAAAAGAAAACTGTCTTTGATGTGACAGGAGCTGGGATGGTGGTTGTTCTCAGGTTAAATAACTTGGAGTTTTAATTAAGTGCTCAGAATAACTGTGACTTTCACCTGTCTTCACCATGAGAGCCAAGTTTCCAGCTCACTGACCATGTGCTCAGATGAAAGGCAACTTTTAAAAGTTGGCTCTTGCATAACTTTTGCTCATTCTTCAGAAAATAAAAAGTTCGATGTCAAATGATCAGAACAGGTAGGCAGGTAGGAAGACAGACAGACAGAAAGACAGGCCACCTTCAGACCATGTGAAACCAGGACCTGGACCCTCAGGATTTGGGGAGCGGATAAAAACCCACAGTCAACTGCAAACTCAGCTCCTCAGTTATTCTGAGCCCTAAACGAAAACCCCAAATTGTTTAACCAGAAAACAACCACCATCCCATCTCCTGTCACATTTTTTCCCTAGCCAGATAATTTCTCAGTCCACATGAAAACCTTGAGGACAGTATTCCAAAGAATTCTAAAACCCCACAGGTATCAAAGGCAAGCCACACTTGGAAGCCTCTGTAATGATATCCACAGCATCAGAGGGCCATAGTACTATTTTTCATCTATTTTTTTCTAAGACAGGATTTCTTTGTGTAACAGCCCTGGCCGGTCTGGCACAATCTATAGACCAGGCTGTCCTCAAACTCACAGAGATCTGCTGCCTCTGTCTCCCAAGTGCTGGGATTAAAGATGTGAGCTACCACACCTGCTGTACTATTTTTAATGTGACTTTAAGATGAGTCCTACTAATGATCTTCGTGCTTCCACGTGACTGGGCAAATGACCAGATAACCACGTATTCACAGCATCAATCCAGACTTCCCAAAGGAAAACCCACGAGTTAGGTTCATTCAATGCCTTGTCATTCCCTTACTTTCCATGACTTTTTTCAGATTTAGCCTCAACTGGATGAAATCAATTTGTACCACAATAAATATTACACACATTGTGAATTCACCTACCCACAGCCAGGAGCAACTGCTCCAAGTTCCCTGAAGTCTCTCGGTCTATGGTCTCCTCAATCTGAAATCCCGATATTGTCATGTACTTGTCAAACACTAGAAAAATAAAAAAGAATATTCCTTCATACTCAGTGAAGACAACCCTGCTTCCTTGATGTCAGGGCCTCCATGTGCTAAGTCCTAAGCAACGGTTTACTTACGTTGTAACAAGCGTCATTAATTAGGAATTTTTAATTGAGATTGGTTTTGTTTGTTGTAATGGATTTTGCGATGTTGCACAGGCTGGCCTCGACGTTGACCCTCCAGTCCCTGCCTTCCATGGGCTCACCTGAGATATGGCCAGTCTTTATGACGTCATGCCATTGCGTCCTTTTAGTTATTGTCTTGAGTTAGCAGGCATATCCCCATTAGCCAAGAAGAATGTCCAAATAAGGACAAGATGTGACAATGGCTTGCTTGAGGATCTGGCTTGGCATGGAGATGATTAGGCAGAAGCCACCAGGCTTCTAAACAGTGTTTCATAAATGCTGATTTTCTGGCCTCTTGCTGGTTGTAATCAGTGAGACCCACAGATAAACCTGCTGTGAAGTTCTGAAAAGCTTCTCCTTCCTTCTAAAAAGTGATCAACAAATACAGCTGACTGAACTTTTTCTCCACTTCCTGCTGTGAAAGTGAGGCTTGGAGCTACGGCAGCCATGTTGTGATGATGAGGTAATGAGCATAAGAAGGACACGCCAGCACGGAGGACAATGCCACAGGAAACCAGAAAACAGACACAGATCCTACCAAGTCAGCCATGCCGTACTCACAGAAATAAAGTCCAACTGTTAAAGCCAAGATGAGGGCTTTTTGTCACTTGCCACCGAACTAATTCTAACCTGACACTGGCATGTGAACCGAACGAATGCATATGAAGTCTTAGGGACCAATATGCAGGGATATCCTAAGAGTGAGACACTCCTTGGTGTCTGGAGTCTGATGTCCCTCATCACCTCTGAGGGTGAAGGGACATCTAGCTAGACATGCAGCAGCAGTATCAAGACCTTTGAGATTCCTCCAGATCAAACCGTGAGAACTGATTTTGCTCTGGGCAGGTATCTGCTCAGACTTGTCATGGACTTTCCAGATCTACCAAAGCATTGGTCTCAAACAGTTTTTTTTACGTACCTCTTCTCAGATGAGACACGCTGCGTGTCCCAAAGATGGTGATAAACTTTTCTTCATCTGTCCCCCACTTCAGCTCTCCAGCCTGGAACAAGGCCTGCAACGAACCACCCTGCATGTCAGTCACTCTTCTGGCTTCCAGGGCTCTGACCCTTCCTGAGCAGTGAATCTCTACCTGCCTGTGCACCAAGTTAACGGGTCACATGCAAAGCACAGAGATGACACAGGAGCTCATGTGTCCAAAGTGTTGACAAGAACATCCCATCTTCCAGGAGATGCCATGGATTGGGAAAGCTCCTGCCATCCACTGTTGAACACTGATCTACAGAGAGGAAGTAACTCAAGTGTTGACAGGAACATCCCAACTTCCAGGAGATGCCATGGATTGGGAAAGTTCCTGCCCTCCACTGTTGAACACTGGTCTACAGAGAGGAAGTAACTCAAGTGTTGACAGGAACATCCCATCTTCCAGGAGATGCCATGGACTGGGAAAGCTCCTGCCCTCCACTGTTGAACACTGATCTACAGAGAGGAAGTAACTCAATGAGAAGTTGTCTGGGTTTTGCTTGGCTCGTCCTATAGCTGCTGTCACGTCTACAGCACATGACAAAAAGTAGACTCCATGATTCCTGTTTACTTCTGTGATTTAAGCAAAGTTACTCACAGAACACCTTAGTACACAGATCACGGTAAAATGCTCACATGCTGCAGGACAGCGCAGTGATTGGCATCTATAGGGCACTTAATAAGTAGTCCTGAAATCACTTGAGCGCCCATATTCACTTTTGATATGAAAAATACAAATGCTCACAGAGTGCATGCACAAGCCTACAAAACTTATACATGAACATTATGCAATCTGAGGTCACCTGGGATGTGCCAGTCTTTACGATGACATACAGTTGCATCTTTTTAGTTACTGTTTTAACAAGCAGATCCTTGTTGGGCCAAGAGGAATTTAATTTGCCTGGATGTGGCCTTCTGCCGCAAGGGCATTACAAATACAGATAATGCATGACAGAGGCTTGCCTGTGGATATACGACTCCTGGTCTTGGGAGGTACAAGCATGTGAATATAGTGGCCTAGAACTATTCTTTATTTCACCAACAGGATATCAAAAGGTAAGATTCCCCCCCCCTATATCTTTGTGCTCAATAAACACAATTCCCTTTTCCCTCTTAGAGTTCAGTGCTCTGTCCAAAGCAAGCACTGGACAAGAAAATGATAAACATCAGTTTTAGCACTCTTAAAATATTAAGTCAGTTTAACACATTGAAAACATGAGCCGGGGGTGGTGGCGCACACCTTTAGTCCCAGCACTCGGAAGGCAGAGGCAGGCGGGTCTCTGAGTTTGAGACCAGCCTGGTCTATAAGAGCGAGTTCCAGGACAGGCTCCAAAGCTACACAGAGAAACCATGTCTGGAAAAACCAAAAATAAATGAAAAATAAATCATTTTTTAAAAGACGTGAAATTGGGGCTAGACAGATGGCTCGTTGGTTGAGAACACTGGCTGCTCTTCCAAAGGACCCAGGTTCAATTCCCAGCACTCACACGGCAGCTCAGACCTGTCTGCAACTCCAGTTCCAGGGGATCTGACACCCTCCCACAGACATACATGCAAGCAAAACCCCAGTGTACATTTTTAAAACCTTTTAAAAATGTTTTTAAAAGGTGAAATTGATTTAACTTGTATAATGTGAAATATTATCTACAAGTTCAGTTCCCAAATGAATGACTCAACTGTGGCTTATCAGATTACCGAGATAACAGCCTGGCTCAATGCCAAGTATCAGTAGAGAAAAACTCAGAGGTTTGTACAAAAGCCCTTTCACTGTCTCAGCTTACTCTCCACCAAGAAATCACTGATCCCTCCTAGTTAAGAAAGTCTCGCTGCCTTTGCTACAATCGGCAAAGGGTATGCACCTTCCCAGACCTGAGAGAAGCAGTCTGCTCAAGGCTGCATTATTGACACGAACAGTCAAGAGGGCATGGCCAGTGTGGCTTACTCTCTGCTGCTCCAGGTCATGGCAACGGGAGGAAAGCCTGGGCTCCACCAGGGGATTTTAAAGTCCCCCCATAAGGCAGTATTCACACATACAAAATCTCACTTCCAGTATCCTAAATGGTCACATCTGCTGCATGACAGGTAAGTGACACGTCCGCAGTTTGGGTAATCAACACAGTCCCCAGATAAGGACATCAGTGCCTGGGGTAGCATGAAAACCATGGCCCCACCCAGACCTGTAGGACCAGAGCTGAAGCCCGTGATTGGCAGGTGATCCATAGGCCTGTGCAACCAATGGTGAGAAGGAAAAAAATCGATGAGAAAGTTCAAGGGACAGCTTTCCCTAGGCCTCACACAACACGCTGCTGACTACAGCAGCTGTGCTGGCAAGTCTGCCTGCGGGGCCTAGTGCAGGCCTCACGCTAGCTATCATCTGAGACTACAGTTGGCTCCCCTCCCTGTAATCACCGAAAAGCTTCCAGAACTCCTAGTCCTGAGAGTAGGAACGTGAGAACTACCCTGTCTCCCACGAAAGCCCAGAGGGAATCAATGCCTGGAAAGCAATGTGGTCATCTGAAACTGTGCAGAGCCCCTAGCTGGGGGAGATGACTTGAGAAGTCTGTTCCTGCTCTTTCTCTACAAGATGGTGCGGGTGAGTTGGACCTGAGCTTTTGACCTGAATTTATAAATGCTTCATATGATAATAGAAATTGGAACAGGGAGCTTGTTTGGTGGAAGAGAGAGGGTGTTGCAGTCACTAGACAAGCTGGGTATCTGAGCTCCATTGTTACTGGAAGGGCCTGGGCTTGTTACCTGGATCACAGTTGAAAGGCCCCCTCAACCTGGTGCAGCCCTACTCACACATCAGTTACTGACTGAATGCCAGCGCTATTGTAGGAACTGGGCCAGAACTGAACTGACATGGTGCCCTAGAAAGGCAGGCTGAGACAGGAAGACAGGGACAGGAAGCCTGAGGTGCTACAGTTTTGCCTGGGGGCCACCTGACTCATTCCTTGAAGGTCAGGAAGAGTCACACAGGAAGGATCTGAAGTGGGACTGACCTTTGAAGAGACGGGGTAGGAACAAGAGAAGAAAAGAGAACTCAAGGCCAAAGACATGGATTACAAGGAAAAACATTCAGGAGTCCAGACTTTATCCCGAGGACAACGCCACACTGAGTTTGAAGAGCTTAGATAGGAATGTGGCGCAGCTGATATTTCCAAGGCAGACTGGGCAGGAGTGAATACAGTGAGTGGGTCCTCAGTAAGTGTTTCCTTTTTTCGCCAGTGAGGCTGGGACCACAATAGCTGAAGCTGTTAAGAAATCAACCACTCAAAATATAACTCTCCCCTCTTTAGGAAAGTCAGATGGTATGTTGCTGGCAACTGCATAGAGTGGTCAACCAGATCTCCATTTTCCCATGGCACCTTAACTGAAGCATGACCAGAGACAGCACTATAGCTGGTGATTCTAGGAACACAAGTACTCCAGGACCAATTCCCAGGTTTCACATCTCATGTTTCACATTTCCTAACGCTTCTTCCTTACATGTAACTACTTTATAAACCACACTGAGATTCAGAAGTCTCTGACGTGCAGTTTTTCATTTAGGAACTGATAAAAAGTAGCTGTCCAAAGAACAATTGCTCTGTTCAGAGCACTGTCAGTGGAAACAAAGAATTTTATAATACTGAAATAAAGTAACATGTCATTTCTTTTGTAATAAAGTGCCATTTAAACCATAAACATTTTGTTCATTCTTCCTTACTTTATCTTACTAAAAAATAACATATTCAATCATGGCAATGGAATGGGAACACAGGGATTTTTTTAAATAAAATTCTCCATTTTGTGAATAATAATAAAAAATAACGTGTCTTTATTATTTACTTAATTTTATTTCAGCTTTGGATACAATTATTTTGTTGGCCAGATCAGAGTAAGAAAAATGTAGCTATATGTTTTACAGGAGCTGCTAAATGCATTTTTAAGGTTCTTAAAATGCACATGATTTTTCATTATTATGAATTCTTTTTATTTCTAAGTCATAACAAAGTTTTCATACAATAGACCTTACTCACCTGAGCATCCAGTTCAACCTGAGCATCATCAATTGCAGTATCAGGGTCTCTATTAGCCTGTAAGAAATGACATCACACACTGGACCACATTGCATCCTCATTCTAAAGGAAAGAGGTGCCTGATGCCTATGCACAAGGCACGTTCTCTCCCGGAAAGCTACGCTTGTGCTAAGATCATATCACCCTACAGCATGCTGCCCTGCCACATAGCAGTGTCCAAACCAGAACAACCCTGCTGATTCTAAATTCTATGAATGAGCAGGCTGCACACAACTGCCTGAAGCAAATGAATGAGTTGGTTATTTCCAATCTGAATCAAATACTCTGAGGCACAACCAAGCACAGGCAGCACGGGGCCATCACAGTGGGAATCTGCACATACCAGGAATTACTGAAAGATTTTTAAGTGGCCTTAACTTAACACAGGCAGGTCATTCCCAACTCTTTAGTCAACTAGGTTAAGTCTCTGCCAATACCTGAAGGAGGACCACCAACATCCTCTGGTAGTACCCTGAGGTATCCCCCACCACGTCATCTTCCAGGCTGGAACCGTATTCTGCAAAACAATGATTTCACACTTGTTCATCGCATCTCTCAACTAGAAAACCCCTGTCCCATTAATCAAATGAACAAGACATAAAGGAAGACACGTATATTTGATTAACAAAATCTTCTCTATGCCATCAAGGAGTGCTCTAAACACGGATGGCAAATTCAATAAGTGAGCAGCCAGATGAAAATGGGCTACATGAACATCCCCTAAAAGCATTCACTCAAGCCTAAATTATAACAGCCACTTAGAAATGCTCTCCCCAAATATAGTTAGTAATGTGCAGACACAGAATGACAGTGGGAAGCTTCGAGAGAATGGTAATTGTAAGTAGAAGCTTTTATATTTGCCAGATGTTTTCCAGCCTATGAATTCCTGTCTTTGCACAGTCGTATCTCCCACTAATAAGATATTTTTCCTTTGCAGCACATATTACCTCTGACAAACAGCAATGACATTTCAAAGTATGAATCCTCCTACCAGGTACCCAAATACAAAGTCTATAATCATCTGATTCCTCCTCTACTCCAACACTGGTAACCAGTTATCAATTCCTCCCTCTACTCCAACACCAGTAGCTAGTTACCAAATCCCCGCAAACATTTGCTCCTCTGATTTGGACTCTTCATGCCCCTACCTCCCAGCAACCTCAGTGATGCCATAATTATTACACAACTTCCTCATTGCCTCTCTACAGAACTATCTATCCAATACACATCTAGACTCAAATCTCCTTCTGTCCTTCAACATTCCATCAGCCATTATGCCACTGACTCAAGGACATGTTCATCATTCAGGCATGCAAATTCCTACACTGCATACCCACCCAGTGCTGTTTATCTCCATAACAAAAACACATGTACCCTTCCCTCGAGTCAGTCTCCATCAGATCTCCCAGTCTATGCTCCTCAATGCAGAGTCCGTGCCACTGATGATCAAAGTCACCTTTGGTACTGAAGACCCATCTTATCCTTCCCTCCCCACCTTGCTTAGTTACAAGAATAAATAGAACATGTATGTATTTAAGGTATACATCATGCTTATACACACTGTGAAATAAATGGTTACCACAAACTAACTGGCACCACCATGTAGTGTTCTTTCAATGGTGAAACACTTAAGCCCTAGTTCTTAGAAAAGTTCAAGTGTACAATGTAGTGGTATGAGCGGCCTTCACACTACAGCTTGTCTCTCCTACCACGCTCTGTGGTGACGCCATCTTCTCTCTTCACTGTCCAGCCTGGGCAAACACCATGTTACTCTCTAACTCTAACAGCTTTACCTGTTTTATCACTTGCTTGGATTCTACCCAAGTGAGGTCATGAAGTGTTTGTCTTTCTGCACCCAGCTCACTTTACTTAAGTTATGTAATGCCTTCCATGTTGACCTGTGCTATGGCAAATGTCAGAAGCTCCATGTTTAAGGCTAAATAATGCAGCACTGTGTGTGCATGCATGTAAGCCCAGCTTGTTTCTTCCATGCATTTTTCAATGGTCACTTAGTTTCTATCACCTACTCTTGAAACTCAACTATCCCGTTTGTATCATAAAGCCTCGCCTAAGACCCAAAGCTACACTGCCCTCTCCCTCTTGTCTGCATCCTGAATTATACTTCTCATGTAGGACTTTCTAAGTTTCACCACCCTTTAACTACTGACTATAACCTCCTTGATGACAAGACCTGTGCTGTGCATGCCTTCTGTGTCCCTTAGGGCAGCAACGGACATAGAGTCATGCCCAGTAACATGCTGAACAGGATGCAGCATGCCCATTTACAGCAACACAGATGCTCAGGCCTAGATGGAGAGCTCTGAAGATCACACCAAATAAACTGCCACTTTGTGATATATGTGCCACCTCTGCCATGGTGGTAGCAACCACCTCGGCTACAAAGAGAAGTTGGAAAGAGGGACTCAGGTAATTATCTAGCTGCCCTAAATTCCACAATGTTCTGACCTGGTGGTTTATAACATCACATCTAAATCCTATAAGCTATTTCTGCAGGAGAGCCACCGTCACTGGCTAACATTCCTGGCTGAGTCCAAAGACAGAAAACCAGACAACTCTTTTCCTTCACTTTAATATCATGGGCTTGAATACATTCAAAGCACTGAAATATGAACTAGACTAAAATACAGACTTTGTTTTCACACACACAAAAAAAATAGGTCACACTAAAAATAACAACCAAAATAACAGGGTACTGTAGCCAAGCATTCCCAGCATTCCCAGCAACTGAAGAGCGTACTTTTATCAATGTTTTCTCAACTCCAGTCTGGAAAAAGAGGTTCAGTCTTTCTTCCCATTCCCCAAAATGTCTTCTATATAGCATAAAATTGAATTTCTTTGAAGAAACTTAATGTAGATGAAAAAGCCAGTCTATTCCTGTAGTGTCTGCAAGACCTTTGCAAAAATAACCCTCATCTCCCTTACAGGTGCTGTCCATTTGCTGTTTTGTTTGTCTGCTTTTTACTGCAGAAGAAGAATAGCCTGCCTTATTTACAGTTCACTCGCTCAGCAATCATGTACTGACTGACGCCCGTATCTACACAGGACTACAGCCAAGTGAGAGAAAGGGAAGGCAATGAACTCCAGCTGCTTACCTTCTTCATAAACGTGTTTTATGGCCCTTAGTTCTTCCGGTGTCCTTGAAGCAATAATTTCTGTCAGTACTTTTTCATCGGTCCCAGCTCCCTGTTGGAAGATTTATTTTTAATGGTGAAAACATGTCAATAGGTTAAAAAAAGAAAGCTATTTCCCTGGATGTTATCCAAATTACGTAATCACAAAAACATCCAACAAAACATGGATTTCTTTGTATCTGGGTTCTATTATTACAGATTTAAGATTCTATACTAACTTTCTTTCTAGGGGCAATGTAATTCTATTTACTTTTTATCTTGTCCAGTGAAAAATAAAGTCTACTTTACTTTTCTATGTCCATCAAACATATCATTACAGTTGAGATCTCCTAAAAGCCTAATCGTTAAACATTTGGTGCCCAGAGTGGCACTAGGGGCTGCTAACCACACCCTTAAGAGGCTTTTAGGTCACTGGGGGATGTCTTTAAAGGGGGTGGTGGGACCACAGTTGTCTCTTCTCTTGGGGCCAGCTATGAGCCTAAATAAGCCTTACTGCTTAAACAGGCCATCTCAGGTAGCAGAACAGAAAGGTGGCCGACAATGGCGATCATGTGCTAATACTCACTTTCTGTTTCTGAAGAATAATTTTAGCTGGTTTCCCTTCTGTACTTATAAGTCATACCTACCCTGCTAATGTCAGAACATATAAGCAGCAATACGGCTAAACTTAGGCTTGTCTGTTTAAGACAGCATAGTTCCTATTTCTACTTTGCAACAACTCACACACTAAAACACCTAAGTTCATCCTATGGGAAAATCTGAGTTGCTCGCAATGCTTTGTGATGTACTCTGTTAAATGTCCTCTTCTCAAGGCCCTACGGTCTCATTTACTTCAAAACTGTAATTGCAGAAGCTCAGACACTCAGTAAATGCAGTCTCCTAGCTGCGTGATTTCTAGTCTTCTGCTATGCGAGAGGAATCCCTGACCTGCTAATTTTATCTACCGATTCAGAACCCACGTAGGACAAGCCACTCCTTTCACTGTCCAAACATGTGTTCCAATACAATCAACTTCCGATGTTCTATTTCAAAAGTTAAAATATCTCATCTGCAACATTCCCAAAGCCCGGAGATAAAATGAAAATACAGAACTCCAGCACACTAAAATTTCAGACAGCGCTTTTGAGTTCAACTATACAAGAAGACTGAATGGCACCCGTGCTAAGTTTGTTCCCCTTTACTTCTCGTAGACTCCCCCAGTTTTGTCTTCTTTGCACCCTTTGCTGAAATGAGTCAAATAAAGCACAGGCTAATTGCCAAAAAAAAAAAAAGCAGCACTACACACGGTGGGAACGCACCACGCATGCCCCTTTTACCTTCAGAGCATGCTTGAGCTCGTAGGCGTCATAGAGCCGCGAAGGCTTCATCAGAGCCACGATTAACTTCTCAAACTTTCCAGTCAGTTCTGATTTCAGGTCATCCAGAAGGTCCTACCTCAGAAAACACAAACTTGGTGACCACGATGTTCCCAAATAGAATGGACGGCCCTTTGCTCTAGTCAATTCCCCATGCTGCTTCTTCAAGTATCACAGAAGACATCTGTGCTAAACAGCATCCCAAGGAGGGCACCTTCAACATCTGACCCTAACCTCAACAGCAGCACTTACCTACTAAGGGGTTAAAGATGTGTTCCTTAACTTTGAGCGTTAAGATAATATGGAATTCCTTTATAGAGCTGGCTAGTATGTGTGGTAGCACATACTTGTAATCCCAGTATATGATGCTGTGGAGGAAGTCACCCTGGAAACGTGCTTCTCTGATTTTGGTACTAGAATAAAACCCAGGGTCTCCTTGTGCCAGGAAAACACCCTAAGTCAGTCTACACTCTTAGCCCTTTATAAATTGTGAGGCCGCTGTCCAGGCTGATCTTAAATACTCTGTACCCCAGGTAGGATTGTTATTATTATTATGATGATGATTATTATTATATTTTATTATTTCTTCTTCCTTTCTTTTTTTTAAGACAGGGTTTCTCTGTGTAACAGCCCTCCTAGAACTCACTCTGTAGAACAGACTGGCTTCAAACCCACAGAGATCCACCTGCCTCTGCTTCCCAAGTGCTAGGATTAAAGGTGTGTGCCACTACTGCCTGACACCAGCTAGAATTTGAATTTGTGGTCCCATCTCAACCTCTGAAGTATCTAGAATTACAAGCCTACAACACTACACCTAGATTTATATAGTAAGATCTTTCTCAAAATCCCAAGCCTCCTGTCCCGCACCCCGCCCCACGCACCCACACAAAAGCTTAACTAGCAATGTCACTCTGTGGGTGAGCGCTTGGGCCACAGAAAGCATACATTCAGCATACATGCTTTTTTTCCAGTGTCCTTGCAGAAATATCCTTACAAAAGCTCCCCCAAAGGGCTAGACTGTATCCCAGTAGCAGAGCACTGAGTCATATGTACAGGGTTTGGGGTTGGACCTCTAGCACCAGAAAGAAAAAGACAAACAAAAGCAAAAGAAATTTTCTCAAAACTCACAAATATATTTTTAAGGGCGAGATTTTGCCTATAATATCCAAACAACATCTTTTCTTTTTTGTTACCATGCAATTATAATATATAATATAAACGGTCCAATTCGGAGTTGATAAACATTGTTATACTTTGAGAGGCATATGCTGGTGAGAGGCACCTTTAGTGGGGGAACGTGTGCAGTCACTTGTGGAAAGGAACACAGTGTTTCCCCCAGCACACTGGGTAGCAGCATTGGGATTAAACATCTACCAATGGGCTACACTGCAGCTCCGTGGGGAGCACTGGTTCATCCCCAGCAACATAAAAGGACAATTTCTGGTTCAGCACTGCATTTGTTTCTCAGTGAAATGAAAAATGTAAATTGTCAGAATTACAGGTCCACATTATGGTATTTCACACATCCTCTCGTTCAGTGAAATTTCAATTTTTATTTTGAATTATTAATCAAATAAGAACTGGAATCAAATAATTTAAAATTTATTAAAATTACTGAAATGCAGGCATATATCTATTATTATTGCAATACAGGCATATACATAAAAAAATGAAAGCAGAGAGGAAGGAAGAGGAGAGTTACCAACATGGGGTCACCGACACCTTTACACCCCAAAAGTGTCAAGGAAGGAAAAACAATTGTGTGAGGCTGCTTTTCGCTATCTTGTAAGCAACATGACAATTTGTTGGCACAGTGCATGTATTCTATTAGTATCTACTGATTTTCTAACCAACCGGGAGTGGTTTGACCTCGTCAGAAGGAGGTCAGCAAGTCACAGGAGAGCCCCGTGCCATTCTTGAGGACATGAGCATCTAAGGATTCTCATATCCTTCAGGTGGAGCAGAGAAGTCCTGACAAAATTCCCTACAAATATGGGGTGATTGTTTAACTTCTCACACTCTTCTAAAACTCACAGCCAGATTCACTCCCCCCTTGGCTGGGCTGTAGTCTTACCTTGCCAAACAGTGTCTTATACTCCTCAGAAATTTCCTGGCGCTGAGCATTGCTTCGAGATGTGAGCAGAGTCAGGATGCTCTCCTCATCAGTGCCTGCAATTGATGGTTAACATGAGAGCCTGCCTCCCACACACCCACTTTTATGTAACCTTTCCAATCAGCTCATAATGCACAGCTTACACAAAAGAAAATACAAAATCGAAAATAGTTAAACTATATATTTCATATATATACATATGAAAACCACACACACACACACACACACACACACACACACACACACACTCCTATTCTCAATTGGACTTAAAGAATATGGACAAACACCCCTGGCTTTTTAAAATCCTAGTGTGCCTACCTTTTATGCACAGTTAAATAATTACCCCAGCAATAGTTATTCACAAGAGATTAAGAGAAGAAAAACAATAGTGCCTGGCTTCAGGTTACAGATAGTTTAGGGTGAAAAACTAAAAAACCTACAAATAACTAAAGCTACAGCAGAACAGCAAGTTCCTTAGGGAGGCCCAGGTGTTACACGAGAAGCAAAGCCAGGTCTCCTGGCTAACAAAAGTAGAAAGGAGTTTGGGAGGAGGAGGTTCCAAACTGTCTTAAAAGAAAGGCAGCCATGTAAGGGCAGACTTAGAATCTGGGGAAAGCTCACAGAATAGAAAAATGTGAGACTTGCAAGCATAGCAGACAGCCAGGCCTGACTGGATCTGAGATCTCAAACAGTAACGGGAGATGAGTCTGAAAGGGGGCCTGGGGATGCCATGGGCAACCTCTCAAGGTAAGGAGAATGAGAGATCTGGTGTAGGAGCCTGAGAGCGATCGGTCAGTTACACACAAAAACCCTCAAGAGGTTAGCATCTGCTTAGAAAGACACTGGGGGGGGGGACTCTGTAGGAGCCCCTAAAGCAGGAAAAGTGGACATGTGATGGGCAAGGCCACTAAGTTACACCAGTTTCCCTCACACTGTATAAGCTTGACTGGTGACCCCAGAGCACAGAGCTGATGTCACTTCCTATCGAATTCTAGAGAATGAATCTTCAGGGTGGTCTAAGGTATCAGTTCATTATGTGAATGCATTTGTATCCGCCTCCCATACCAGTTTTTGGTCTTTTAGAATGAAAAGATGTGACTTACCCAAGCCTTTCATGGCCTTCCGAAGAGTTTCTGCATCAGCCCTGCTATCAAATCCAGGGAAGGCAGTCACGGTGCCTCTGAGAACCTGAGACAGACGGAAGGACAGTGTTATTCACACTGTGACCAATGTCAAAAAACTAGTAACATCAACAGTCCAATCTCCCTTTGCTCAATGCTGTGTTTGACCTCTAAGCAAACTTACCATCTGGTAAGAATTGTGACCTACTTGAAAGGGGAAGTAAGCATGGAAGTGACAGGACCAGTCAAGGGCAGGAGACACCCAGAGCCACTGACAGTAACATCAGAGGGCAGCTCCCTCACTGTGGTCACCCAGCCAAGGCCTCCTGCTTCACAGAGCCCTGCCTGCAGGCTTCTTCCCTGCTAAGTCTCTCCCACTTGAAGCACACTGAGCCTGCGTTAAAATGTGACGCCCACTCTACACACTCAGTTGGAAACACAGCTTTACATAGCCTTCATACTGAGTCCCAGTCCTGTAGAGCTGGGAATCTTGAGACAATTCAGCGATTTCTGAAAATACTTGGTAATTTGTGTGCCGGACAAGTGACGTGCAGGGTGGTCTTCTTCGGGAGCCCTCCGGTATCACATTACCATATAAAGAGTTTCCACTAATCTCCCGTTAATTCCCCTCAATAGTAACAGTCTTAACTCGCCCATAAAAAGACACAAGCTAACAGAATGGATTCAAAGACAGTATTCATCCTTCTGTTGCATACAAGAAAAACACCTCAGCCTCAAAGGCAGACGTTACTTCAGAGTTAAGGGTTGGGAAAAGATTTTCCAATCAAATGGACCCAAGAAACAAGCGGGGGTAGCAATCCTAATATCTAACAAGTTAGACTTTAAACTAAAATCAATCAAAAGAGATGAAGGAGGTCACTTCATACTCATCACAGGAGAAATCCACCAAGATGAAGTCTCAATTCTGAACATCTATGCCCCAAATACAAAGCCATTAACGTTTGTAAAAGAAAATTACTAAAACTCAAAGCACAAGGATACGAAGGGTCTAATAGAAGTTATGACCCAATTGGGTTTAACAGACATCTATAGAACACTCCATCCAAACACAAAAGAATATACCTTCTTCTCAGCTCCACACGGAACCTTCTCAAAAATCGACCACATACTTGGCAACATAGCAAACCTTAACATGTCTTGTAGCGTATTTTGTCTCCCAGAGGGGTACATCTGACATCCCTCCTGTCCCCTTCCTCTGGGCAGCCTTTTGGTCTGTCTCCTCCATCGATCACTAATTAAGAATATATCCTACAGGCTTGACTGCAACCCCATCTTATCGAGGCATTTTCTCAGTCGAGGTTCCCTCCTGTCAGATGACTTTAGCTTGTATCAAGTTATCATAAAACTATACAGCACACAAGAACAAAGATGAGGGAAGACAAGACATAAGGTGGATTGCTTCAGAGAAACCACATCTCACAAAGTTTTAAAAGCAAAAATCTGCTTTGTAAGTTATGAAGAAACTTCAAGGAAAAAGAATTAAACACGGACAAGTTTGAACAAAGAGAAGTCATTTGTCTCAAAAAATACAACTGACCCTAAGGACTGAAGGAAACATTTTGAGTCGTATAAGGAAGAAAAATATCCTTAAAGATTTCAGCTATTAACTAGAAGAAATAACTTCCCACCGCATACTTAAGAGCTTTCTAGAAACTGGATACAGTTTTGCTATATTCCATACAGGGCTAGCAAGGCCACATGGTAGCACTAGGGGGCCAGATGTGAGTCATACGCATGAGTAATGAGGACAGAGCCCTGGGTAGGGCTCTGTCTGCCCCTTGCTACCCACGCAAAATGCAATATGATTCTGGGTGACTCATTCAGGAAGCCCCCACTTCCGGAAATCCCCACAGTCCAGCAGAGTAAGCTTCATTCTCAACTTATCCTCATTTCTCTTCCTCTCTCATCACCAATTCCCCACAAAAGGAATTAATTACTCCACCTGCTTAGACAATACCTGTTCAAAACACAAAAATCACGTTTTAACTCTCATCTTTAGCTTGATAATTTTGTTGCCTGGAAAGGTAGAGACAGGAAGACAGAGTTCTGTACCCCCTCTCAGTGAAACAGGAAGGTACTTCTAACATTCCCTGTGATATTGCAACCAAGAGATGAGGAAAAAATTCTTAATCACTGAATAATTGCATGATCAAGAAAAGATGGAAAAGTCAGCCTGACATGATAGTGCATTGCAAAATGAAATAAACTCAAGGAAAAGTAAGAACTTGTAACAGGATCAAGGGGTGCAACACACCCAGGCCAGACATATGATCCCAGCCTTGACCCTGGCCCCGTCAGGAGAGGGATACTAGCTTCAAGCCCTAGGCCATCAGGAGAGGGATGTTAGCTTCAAGCCCTAGCCCGTCAGGAGAGGGATACTAGCTTCAAGCCCTGGTGTCACACAGTTTACTGCTCTGAAGTCGTCTCCCTTTCCCTTTCCAGTGCCTTCCTCCTTTTTGCTTCATTTCAGCCAGTCAAACTAGCCAACTACTTTTGACCTCTTTCTTACGATCAGGAACAACAGTATCATTGTGTAATAAGTTATTTAAGTTACTTGCACAATGGCAGAAAAGTTCCAATGGCAAAATAAGGGTCTGTAAATATGACTAATGTGGATACTGGGAACCAGGAACTCAACTTCAACAAATCCACGTCTCTCTTCTCTGTCCAAATGTAAATCAGCAAGCCAGCGTCCTGATCTGCACCTAGCCCTTCATCAACCACCACCTCACTCACTTATCAAAGTTGTCCCCTTCTCCCATCGGTCCCTGCCATCTAGTCCCAGCTGTGCCACGCCTCATATCTAATGGCTGTATTTGTAGGACTCTGGAGGCTGATGCAGGAGGATTGTTGTGAGCTCAAGACAAGCCTGTGCCTGTGCCTGAGTGAGACCCTGTCTTAAAAAATAATAACAATAAAGTCTTAGCCACTGCCTAGTTTACTTCCTTGGTGGTGGTGGAGCACTCCTGGGATTATTGGAACAGGTTCAGTTTCCCTCCCAACTCCAACATGGCAACCCCTCTTCTACAGCCCCAGAAATGCAGCCCCCATGCTAGCACCAGGATACTCCCCTTTAAACACAAATCTGGTCCAGGCACTGTCAGCTTTAACAACCCTTTGGAGGGCTCACCATCATCTAGAAAGCAATTCCTATTACTTGAGTCTGGTTCTGCCTATTCACCCGGGATCCCTTCCCAAGACAGGAAACCACTCATCTCCCTTACCACAGTCTCTCTGACAGTGCTACCCACAGTTCAGCCTGCCAAGGTCTCGGCCATGCCCTAAGCTTTTGCATTTGTTCTTGTGATGGCTACATAAGATTTATCCCACACAAATCATGCCAGCAAAGTAACCTCAAATAATATATATTTCCAAAATGTATCACAAGCACTAGATAATGCATGCAAAGGGTTTGGTAATGCATCCATTCTAGTGGCAAATGTTAGTCACAGCTCCCATTTTACTTTCCATGTCTTACAAGACCCAGGACAGAATAGGAAAGCAAATATTTAAACTTCCAGGATGCACACACAAACGGAAAGACACAGAAACAATGGTCCAAAGAAATGAAGTCCACCACACGTTCCTTTCAATTAATTAATGGCTTACATGTTTACATACTGTGTAAACCACTAGATGGAAAGGATGGATCCAAAACATATTTTAAAGCACAGACCTTAGGAGCACTAATTCTAATTCGACTAAGGCATTAGTGAAATTTTAGAATAGTAAACAGTTATACAACTAAAGTGTCTTTGGAAATGGATCTATGATATAGAAATACATTTATTCCGTTTTGAACTCTGAAGTTATTATAGGAAGAAAATCACAGACTACACATCGCCAAGTCACTTAAGCACTGGGATGGGTCTTCCAAGGAGCTCAGAAAAGTGATAAGGAAACCAGGACTTGCTGGTGCCAATGAAGTGAGCGGTGGCTTGTAAAGCAGCCAAGCAGCTTTCTCAGAGTGGAGATCTCAGAGTCAAAGGCATCAGGAACTGCAACACACTGAGCCAGGGCAGCAGAGGCCATGGGAACAGGCAGCCTTGATCCAGGATCTGGAGACCAGCTACAGAGGTAACTGACCTGAGGTGTAAGCCAATGTCCAGAGAGTCCTCTGCAATGAACGTGTGGGAAACATACTTGTTTACCCTGATCCTGCCCGCTATGCAAAGGGCCTTCGTAAATAATGATTATGAGCCCACAACTCTAAACCAACCCCCACATTTTCAAACCAAACCTTATACAGTTTAAATATATACCACTGAGATAACTGATACTCTTAAAGTTTCTACTAAACATTTATGCAACCCAGTTTTGTCTTCATGACATTCCTGCTGCTGTGAACATATTAACTCTTTAAGAAGAGAAAGACTAATAAAATTAAGTTCGTTTTGCTCAAAATTAAATTCTTAAAATTTCATTATATGAAAATAACATCCTTAAACTGAATTAAATTATGAAATGGTTCATTTGTCTATGAAATACCGACAACTCTCTCCAAGCCAAAGAAAACAAGCCCATGAACTTTTAAGTATTTAAAGTAAATTAAAATACCTACTAATTTGGCTGTAGCTAGACAGTGAAATGAAATACTAGCTGCGCTGTTACATGGAACTGTGAGCAAAATTAACCCTTTCCTCCCCAAGTTGTTGATGGTCATGGTTTTTCATGACAGCAACTAAAGCAAGTTGGTACCAGACTGGTGCGGTATGACTGACGTGATGATGTTTTTTGGGAGGACTGTTGGATTAGAAAAGCCAATGAATGTTCAAAGCTTGGTGAGCATTGATAGGAGCTTGGAATGATGGAGGCCTGGCTTGTAACGTTTCAGAGGGAAGTAAAGACTCTAGTGGGGGAAAAAAAGACTCTACTGGGGTAGAAAGTAGAGTCTGTAGTGTCTGGTCAGCTGGAGCTAAGAACTGGCTGTGACTAACAAGAGGCCAGAACCAATGGATGCTGGCCAGCTGGGGCTGAAGAATCAGCTATGATTAAGAAGAGACAGGCATCACTGAGGAGAAGTGTTCTAGAAGTGTTTCCGAAGGGTCAGCACACAGAAGCTGTGATCCAGAAGTGGCCAAGGTTGCATCTTAAGCGGGCAGCTGAACTTGGTAATAGAAGAGTCACTCCAATGGTACGGTTTTGAAGGCATTAAGGGGTCATGGAGAGCAGCTGAGGAGTGACACTGTGGCAGAGATGGAGTCCTGTAGAGAGCCCAGGAAAGGTTATTGGTGCAAGTGCAGCCCAGCTGCAGCAAGGGACTCCATCATTTCTGGAGATGCCAGTCCCACAGGACAACAGCAGTAGACGTGGAATGGAGGCAGCCAGAACCTAGAAGACAAGCTGTGTGGGCTGGGAAAGTGACCTAAGCCCTTTGGAGGGTCCCAGAAGATCCTCAGTGGATCCCAGACATTGGACAGTGAGCTAGTTACACTTTTGGAGTTTGGTTTTACTCTGTTCCAATTGTCTGTTCCCTGATTTCTCATTCTTGAAGTAAGACAGTATTTAACTTATTTTTGATTTTTAGATGATCCCACTGTTCAGGCATTTTGAACTTTTAAAGAAATTCTTCAATTTTACAGACTTTGGCTTTTTAAAAAGACTGAGTTGGGTTTTGTTGTCGTTGTTGTTGTTGCTTTGGGGGGTTGGCTTTTTGGAAGATTTGAGACAAGGTTTCTGTGTATCTTTAACTATCCTGGAACTCACTCTATCGATCAGTTGGTCTCAAACTCACAGAGATCCACCTGCCTCTGCCTTCTGAGTGCTGGGATTAAAGGTGTGTGCCACCACCACCCTGCAAAGACTGAGTATTTTTAAAGAGGATGAATTTGCTTGAATTTTTATAGACTGAGATTTTTTTTAACTTGGAATGTTTATATTGTACTGTTGATATTTACGTGTGATCTTTGGGATAAACAAGAAGGGAAAGGTTGGTCTTACCAGTGATACACTTGTGTGTCAAATTAATAAGAGGACAGTTGTGCCGGCTAGTTTTATGTCAACTTTCACAAACTAGGGTCACTGCAGAGGAGGGAACCTCAATTAAGAAAAACCCTCCAAAAGATCAAACTATAAGCAAGCCTGTAGCAAACTTTCTTAATTAGTGATTCATGTGGAAGATCCTAGCCCATTGTGGGTGGTTCCATTCCTAGGCTGGTGGTCCTAGGTTCTATAAAAATCAGGCTGAGCAAGCTAGTGAGCAGCATCCCTCCATGGCCTCTGCATCAGCTCGTGCCTCCAGGTTTCTGCCCTGTGTGAGTTCCTGTCCTGACTGCTTTTAATGATAAACTGTTACATGGAACTGTAAGTGACATAAACCCTTTCCTCCCAAGTTGCTTTTGGTCATGGAGTTTCATCACAGCAATAGTAAACCTAACTAAGACAACAGCATGAAATTTAAGAAAAAGAAGAGCTTCGGAACCTGATTTTTAAAATCTAGTCCAATATATGGTAAGTGTAACTGAAGAAACATTACTAAGATGTAAAGAAAATTACATTTTTGTAAAAAGTTGGATATAGAAAGAAAAAGATAAAATGATTCATACATATTTTACTATATAGAGATAATTCAGGCAACTTTAACAGCTTTGTTAATTCTCAATAAATAATTTAAATTAGTTTGCATTCAAATTTACTACATCAAAAAATGTTACTAATCCAAAAATCATAGTAATTTGTGACTTACATAGCAGCATTGCTATGCTAAAATAACAGGGGCATTATGGTTTAGAATCATATAACTCATTCAAATGAATACTTCCAAGCAAACATTTAGAAAATAATTGGTGTCCATTTACTGTTTATAGGTACATAAAAGTTTATTTGTAATTTAAATCTTTCCTGGGTATCATAGAAAATACAATTAACCACTGTGTTTTCTTTGGAGAAGATTGGGAAAGCCATCATTAAACTATTTCCTCAATCAAACAGCCAATCTATTGATGCTAACGGATATGGGGAGGGTTAGGACCAATGAAAGAGCAGATCACATGGTGTTACCCTATGGATTCTTCCAGTTCTGAGTGTGTCTGCTAGACATGAGAATACAAATTACACAATTTTCAGTATGACCTCCTGTCTCACTTTTATTCCCTGTTCTGATAGGATTGATAGGATTGAAGTAAAAATTTAATTGAAAAAGAAAATTACACTGGTAAGTCCACCAGACTCCATGGGTTGTTACAAACTCGTGACCACAGAGACAGCCCGGGTTTAACTCACTGGGTCACAAAACAAGACAAAGAGACATGAATGTAGGAAAAGGACCTGTAGAGAGGAGGAGGGGTTGGGAAGGTTGAGGGGGCTGGGGGGGGGAGATAAAAGAGAGGTAAGAGGCATCAGAATGCACCATTTACATTCATGAAATTGTCAAAGAAATTTAATTAATAAAGAATAAAACTTGTAGCTGAAAACTCAATAATAAGTATATAAGGGACAAAGAGGAAAGAGTGGGTGAGGGGAAAGGAAATGAAGGGGAGGGATGGGAGTCCAAGGTACCACCAGAGATCAACCAATTCTTTGCAGTTAATTGTTAGCAAGATGGTCACAGTCATGTTCTGGAGTCTCCACTTTCATAAATGGTGCAGTCCCAACACAAATAAAAGGAAATGGTAAGTATAGAGGGTATAAATACATATTCCAGGTTCATAAATATGAAGAATTACTGTAGTGGGAAGCTACATTCTCAGCTTTCAATAAGCAAGAGACATCAATGAATTTTTAATTGCTGAAGCACACACCTCCAAGACAGAAATCTGATACCATTACTCTCCGGATGTCATGGAATGGAAATCTCTTGTTCCTATCCCCTTAGTTCAACAAAAGTCCTTCCACAGAAACAATCCGAAACCTATCATGAAGCTCCAGCTTTCCTCCAACGACACTAGAATCCAAAGGATTTAGACAGCAAAGTGCACTTAGAGCCAGGCATGGTGGCCCACACCTGGAATCCCAGAACTTGGGAGGGGGGAGGAGGGAGGATCCAGGAGTTCAAAGTCATCCTCAGCTACAGAGTAAGTTCAAGGCCAGAGCCAACTATTTGAGACCTGGTCCCCAAAACCACTAGGGAGAGGGAGGATAGCAGTTATATAATGTGGACATTCTGCTCATCACCAAATGCAAATATAAGATACAAAACACTATTCTAATCTGAAATGTTTTAACAAAAGGTTTTACTTCTATGGTTTCCACAGATTCCTGACAAAGTTGCGGGAAGTTCAACATGCTACAATGTCTCCAATACTATCTTGGATAAAGAGTGGATACAATGGAAGAGAATTAATTGAGAAACGGCAAGCTGTGATCTCCACATTAGTGAGGCTGAGGCGAGAGGAACTCAGGGAAAAAGGAAGTCCTCACTTAGAGTACAGGCAAGCTTCAGGCCAGCCTGGGCTACACACGGGGACCTTATCAAAACAAAAACACTTGAGACAACTGAAGAATAAGCCAAATAGGCAAGGACAGAGGGAACTGGCTCTGAGACACTTGCTAATCACCGCGTCCATCACCATAGCAGGTATGAAGATAGGAGAGACTCGGGAGTAACGCTAATCCCACAGAAACACGCATTATGCTGAGGAGCCTAAGTCCATGGTCCCCTTGAGGTAACACGAGAGAACTACCTAATTGCAAAAGCAAAAGAATGGCTGCACTGTAGAAACTAAGTAAACTTCTAAAATCATCTTAGTCCCTCCACTTTCCCGAGGAAAGGGCCAGGAAATCCTATCCAATTGTAGGAAAGCAACCGGACTACTAACCTAATGGGGAGGGGGGAAGGGGGGAGGGATGGAAGAGGGAGTGAGGGAGAGTGGGAGGGAGTGTGTGTGTGTGTGTGTGTGTGTGTGTGTGTGTGTGTTTAGGCTAAAGATTGTCTGGACTTTGACAAGATTGACAAGATGTGTGAAAATTAGTTTAGCCGTAGAAATGTTTTGTTCTTTTGGTTTTTGAGACAGTCTCCTACAGCCAAGGCCCTTGATGACCAAAGATGACCTCTCCTGATCTCCCTGTCTCCACCGCCCAAGATGTGGGATTCCAGGTATAGCCACCCAGCCCTCAGGGTGGAATATTTTAGGGATGGTAACTTATTCAATGGTCAACTTTTTAAAATTACTACACAAACCAGGCGGTGGTGGCCCACGTCTTTAGTCCCAGTACTCTGGAGGCAGAGGCAGCCTGATTTACAGCCTGATCCTTTCTAGGACAACCAGGCCTACACAGAGAAACTGTCTTGAAAAACAACAAAACAAAACAAACAAATCCCTATACATACTAGCTGTTCTTTGGTACACTCTAGACAAATATTAAGAGATTTAAAAAAACAATAACAACAAAAGCCTATAGGTAATCAACTTCTGAAAGACTCCCAAGGCAAATTCAATTCAGAACTTGTTTTGTGAGTTCATACTTTGGTTCAGTGCCTTTAGCGGGGGGGCGCAGGTCTTATGAATAGTGGGTTCCTTTTAAATAAACTGCCGCGCTGAGTGCTGGAAAAGGCTACCCTGAAGCACCATGGAAACCACCCACACACACCCAGTATTCAAGCACAGGAAACTGCGGGAAAAATAAAAATAAGGGAAGCCAAAAGGGCGTTCGCCTCACATGACCAAGAGAGCTGTTCCTGCTCGGGTTCTAATTTTGGCAACTCTGGATTTGGGGCGGCCGGTTTACATATACCTAGAGAAGCACCAGCTGGTTCCGGACACTCCGGGGTGAGGGAGAAAACAGGAGAGCGGACACGGAGGGGACACCAAGAGGACACGGAGAGGGCATAGAGCTGGACGTGGAAGGGGAAAGCGGAGACCGAGACTCCGAAAGCAGCTCCGTCGCCCCCAGCTCTGCTGCTTTTGGAGACGGTCCCCATCGCCCTGGTCCCCATCGCGGGCACACAGCTTACCTGGGCCATGATGCTGTTGGTCAGGAGCGAGCCGGGGCTGCTGGGGGAGAGAGAAAGACGGTCACAGGAGTCCCGGTCCCCCTCCCCAAGAGTGCCCCGCGCCACGCCACAGCCTTCGTGGAAGGGCCGCTCCCGGGCCCACGGCCACTCACCGAGACCGTAGAGCGCAGGCTACGGGCGAGAACGGGAACGATGCGCACGCCGAGAGACAGGGCAGTAATCTCAGCGGCTCCGTGCAACGGAAACGCCCTAGCCAGCCCAGCCCAGCCCGACCCTGCCCCGCCACGCCACGCCACGCCCCTGCCAAGGCGGCATACCCACTAAGGCCCCGCCCAGCTACGCTACTCTGCAAGCTCCACCTTGTCCCAGGCACTGGCCACACCCCTCGCTACCGCACTACCCTTGCAGGACCACGTCCTCAGAAAAGGCCACACCCCCACCACGGCCACGCCCCCTATCAGGCCACACCCTGCCACGTCCTGGCCTCTGCTCCTGCGCCTGCGTGGGGCGCGGCTGGCCCACGCCCACCCTTTGCTCTGCTGGACGCGCTGTGCTGGACCCACGGGCCAGGGTGGGGCTGGGGAGCCGGGAACTGTCCCAGCTCAGCCCACAGCGTCTTCCACCGCACGCTGAGCGTCGGGCAGTGAGAGCCTTTCCCTCCCAGACTGTTGTCAAGTGTTTAGTGCTTCTTGGTGTCCGTGTCGCGGTTGTAGTTTTGTGTAGTACACGTGGCTATGTAAAAGCCACTGGAAACAGTTTCATTTCCAAACCCAGCCGGTAACTTGCAAGAGACTTGCGAGGTGCACCGTGACTGAAGTGACGCCGGAAAAGCAGCCAAGCAGCCGGTGCCCTTCTCAAGTTCGCTGGTGTGGGAGGATGCGCCCGCGGGGCCTGCCTATGAGGCAATAGGACAGAGGCGTCCTAGCCACGGATGTTCAAGAAGCAAACGTCAGGATCGGGGCTTGAGAAAGAAGAAGCCGATCACGTGGAGAAGGAATGTGGTTGTGCAGGACTTGTCATTTGCTGTGCACCACATACTTTGTCTGGCCTTGACAACGTCCAGTTGCTTAATGGTTTTCTAGCAAAAGAGACAAAACTGCCAAGGAGGGGGAGCCTGCCACCTTTCCCAAGGCCATACTCGTGTCCCTTGCCTCCTCATGGGCTCGGTGGAATACCTTCTCCAGGGACCTAGCCGCTCCTAATAGCCTTGGACATTTCAGCGCCTCTCCTGGGGAATGGTTTTTGTTTTGTTTTGTTCTTTTTCTGGACTCAAGGGACTCTCACACATGATTCTCCAGGGACTTCAACGGTTTCGATAGCCCCGTTTCCCTGCCCGTTCCCCTGCCCCGAGCATTCTTTTAAGACATACATCTCTCAGTCACCCATACTTGTCTTTCATTCTGACCATAAATAATCTTCTATATGACCTAGGCATTGTTATTCCCACCACACCTATTCAACTGCTTTTTCCTCCATTCACTTTCTACTCTGGAACAGAGGAGCCTGTTTAAGAATGTTGATGTAGAAAACTATGCCTTGTGGGGGATCGTGAAGAGTGCTCTGCCCTGGGGTTAAGTAGGAAAGCATGAATTATTAGAGCCAGGCTCTTGATCTTCCCCAGCAAGTGTTTCCTTTACTTCCAGTTACAACTAGTTTATTCACCTGGACCCCAGACAACTCTAAGCCCTCCTTCTGGAAGAGTAGGCCAATGTGATGAGTCCTATACAGAAAATAAGACGAAGTTCACAGATGAGAGAGAGGAGCACTATTTCCCAAAGGAGATCTGGAAGATTTCCCAACTAAAGGAAAAGCTGGAATTAATATGATTGAGTGTGCTGAGCACCTGGGAAAACATGCATAAAATAACCCACCCTAAAATTCTAAATATAGCACACACACAAACACAGAGGAGGGAGCATGCCGTGAAAGAATGCATGAGATGATGTAATGCAGTTGTCTTATAAGCAACAGAGTTTTATTTCTCAGATATCTGGAAGTCAGAAAAGTCAAGATCAAGGCTCTGCAGATTCGGGGTCTGATGAACCTCTGCTTCCTCAGAGAACATCATCTCACTGAAGCTCTACATGGCACAAGATTTGCTCCCTAGCTCCCTGGGGTCTCGGCTATAAGAGCATTAATCTCCATCGTGAAGTGAAATCTTCATAATCTAATTGCTTCCTAAAGGCAATCCTGTAACCTTGGAAGCTGGGTTTTCAACCTATCAGTGTGGGAGTGATACATCAGATCACAATAAGCCTAGGTACGTTTTCCGAAGGTTTTCTGGACCCACCACGATAACAGCCTGCATATGTATTGCCCAAGGACTTAAAGCTGAGACTCTGGAGAGTTACAATAGTAGATGTCCTTCCACTGGTGCCTGGCCCAGTGGTCATCAGAGAGGCTTCATCCAGACACTGATGGAAACAGATGGAGACACCCACAGTTAGACATTAGGCTGAGTTTGGGGAATCCTACTGAAGAGAAGGAGGAAGGATTATAGGAACCAGAGGGACCAAGGACTGTGGTGATATATTATTTATGATTTATTAAAGCTTTCCTGGGGATTCAGAAAGCAAAACCAGCCACAAGATATGGAGATCAGGCAGTGATAATACACACCTTTCTTTAATCCCAGCAGCCAGAAGCTAGGAGGTGGTGGTACACACTTTTAGTCCTAGGACTCAGAATTAAAAGATAGACAGATCTCTATGAGTCCAAGACCACCCAGATCTACACAAGATTGATCCAGTCCTAAAGAGAAACAGCTCATACAAAGATGATCTCGGCACCTGGGATCACACGCCTTTAATCCCAACACTAGGGAGGTATAAAAGATAGGGCAGTGTCTTCAGTAGTCAGTATCAAGGATTCATTCTCCAGCCACATTGAGGATAGGAAGACATTCTCCAGTCACTCTGAGGAGAGGCAGCAATCTGAGGTTTGGTGGAGCCAGGATCACCTTTCAGCCTGAGGTAGCAGTAAACGCTAGTGACCAGCTGCTTCGCTTTTCTGACCTTCAGATTGAAGTTTGAACCCCAATATCTGACTCTGGATCTGTGTGTGTGTGCGTGTGTGTGTGTGTGTGTGTGTGTGTGTGTGTGTGTTACAAAGGACATCACGAGAAAACACGCAGAATCAAGTGATCTTGGGCTCACAGAGTTTGAATTGACAACCAGGGAGCCTGCATGGGACTGACTTAGGCACTCTGAATATATGTTACAGTTCTGTAGCTTGGTCTTCTTGTGAGATTCCTAACAATGGGAGCAGGGGCTGTGTCTGACTCTTTTGCTGGCTTTTGGGACCCTACTGGGTTGCCTTGCCCATCATTAATACAAGAGGAGGTGCTTAGCCTTACTGCAACTTGGTATGCCATGCTTTCTTGGTATCCAAGGGAGGCCTGCCTTTTCTGAACATAAATGGAGGAGTGGATGGGAGGTGGCAAGGGGGTGGGAGAGGGCTTGGGAAAAAAAGAGGGAGGGGAAACTGCAGTTGAGATATAAAATTGATTTTTTAATTAATTAAAATAACAACAACAAAAAGTACATCAGTTTCCCAAACACAAGACTAGAATGTGGTGGACCTTGAATAAATGATTACAAAATTATTTCATAGGACTCTTTCAGAAAGAATGTTTTGGTCTTTAAAAGACTAGCCAGGCCTAGGTGTGCAGGCCTATTGTTGTAGCTGTTTAGGCAGCTAAGGCAGGAAAACCAAAAGTTCCAAGTCAGTCTGTTCTACAGAGTGAGTTCAAGGTCAGCCTGGGAAATTTAGTGGGACACTGTCTTAAAATCAAAAGTAAAATGAGGAATGGAAATGTAGCTCAGTGACAAGAGAAGCCCTAGATTCAGTACATAGTGCTGCAAATAGATAAGTAAATAAAATACATAAAATAAGCAATAAAAGTATGTAAAAACAATCTACAAAAAAATACTTAGGGGGCTGGAGAGATGGCTCGGAAGTTAAGAGCACTGGCTGTTCTTCCAAAGGTCCTGAGTTCAATTCCCAGCAACCACATGGTGGCTCACGACCATCTGTAATGAGATCTGATGCCCTCTTCTGGCCTGCAGACATGCAGGCAGAATACCGTACAGGTAACAAATAAATCTTTTTTAAAAAGTACTTAGGCCGGGTGGTGGTGTCACATGCCTTTAATCCCAGAACTCGGGAGGCAGAGGCAGGCGGATCTCTGTGAGTTCAAGGCTGGGCTGGACCAACAGCCTCCAAAACAATACAGAGAAACCCTGTCTCGTAAAAAACCAAAAAAATAAAAATAAAAAAAAATACTTAGGAAAGGACAAGCATCCTTTCTGAATCTTTAGGGCCTAGCACAGTGCCAGCCCTTAGGGAGGTTGCCTTGGTGTGACTGCGACTAGCCATCTGACAGAAATGACTTAGCAGAGGAAGGTCTTCTTTTTAGGGCCTAGCACAGTGCCAGCCCTGAGGGAAGTTGCCTTGGTGTGACTGTGACTAGCCATCTGACAGAAATGACTTAGCAGAGGAAGGTCTTCTTTTGCTTCACAATTTGGGGAGGTTTGGTCTTTCTTGCTTGGCTGACACTCTGGACAGAATATCATATCAGGGAAGTGTGTGGTAAAGGAACTTCTTCACCTCACGATGGACAGGGCAAAGAGCTGGGAAGCAGACATCATCTTCAAGGCAGCACTCAGTGAGGCCCCACCTTCTGAAGTTTCTGTAATCTCCCAAATGGCATCACCAGCCGAGAACTACTAAACCCAGAAGCCTGTGGGAGACAGTTCAAGTTTAAACTGTACTAGTAAATTGACACAAGAATGCAATATATAGTGGGATTTTAAGTTATTGGTTTTCAACAAAGACTGTGGCTTAACATAAATTGTTAATATTCAGAATTATCGGTAGTTACCAAAATAAGTTCAAAATAAACTGAATTTTCCTAGACAGATGTTTTCTCAGACAGAGTCTGAATTCTTGGGAAGACTCATTCCTGATTCAATTAAAATTTTGTCTTATGATCTTATTAGTATATGACCTTAGACAGTGATTTCATTTTTTTGTTGTTGTTGTTTTGTTTGTTGTTTTTTTTATTTTATTTGAGGCAGGATTTCTCTGTATAGCCCTGACTGTCTTGAACTCCCTGTATTGACCAGGCTGGCCTTGAACTCGGTGATCTGCCTACCTCTGCCTTTCGAGTGCTGGAATTAAAGGTGTGTGCCACCACTGCCTGGCCATGATTTTTTTCTTTATTTGGAAAGCTGGTTAAGATTACACGAACTGCCTTGTTCAGTTCCTAAAATAACAGGATGACTGATTTCAATTTTTCATGCCTTTTTCTCCTTCCAAAAACTGTTTCCACCAAACCCAACCCTCATTTTTCATGTCCATGATTCAATCCCCACCCATCCCACTCAAAAAAAGAAATGGTCCGCACCCAACCCACTCAAAAACGAAAATACATCTCTCTAAACCCATTCACAGCTCAATAGCTGTGAGCCTAGCTACCACGCACCGGAGGCACCCACACGCCCTGGCTCATTTCTGCTCCTGGGGCCTGTGTGATAGCATTAGTATCATTCGCTCATTGTTCATTCATTCATAAAGTGTATTGTGTGCCTTGCCACTGACACTGAGGGCACAGAGGTGGCAGGAAAGGTACACAGAATCTGTCTAGATAGTCCTGGGACTGGCAGGTTGAGATGACAGCAGTGTTCCATTAGCTAAGCTGCTGGGGAGTGAGGGAAGTCATCGAGAGACATCTCCTCATGGGAATGCAAGCGCTGGCGTGTCAACCTAACTGCGCTCCAGGGTGTGTCAACCTAACTGCGCTCCAGGGTACCCAGATGTTGCTTCTCTCGTGTCTATGAGGGTATTTCTGCAATAAACTGGCATTGAATTGGCTAACTTAGTAGAGCAAACGCTCTTCCCTGATAGGCCTAACCCCATTTGTTCCGGGTCTGAATAGAGCAAAGAGCCCGGAGGACCTGGTTCACGTCTGCACGACAGCTGGGGTGGTCTCCTGCCCACTGTGCTTCAGGTTCAGCCTTGAATTGGAATCTGCCCACCCTCTCTTTTGTGCTCTCCCGCCAGCCTGCCTTGGTCTTCTGCAGGCGGTAAGACCCTTAGCCTCCCCGGTCACGTGAGCAATTTCTAGTCAGTCTCACTGTGTATGTGTGTGCGCATATGTATTTCAGTGGTCCTATTTTTTCAAACTAATACAAAGGGGAAAACCAACTTCTGTTACTATTATGTGGGATTTTCCGTTCACAATGAGCAATTCTCAAACTCTTCAGATACTAGCTATATAAGATTCAATTTAGTTTCGACTCTACCTGGGGTAAAGGTCTATCTGATAGACTATGGACTTAATCTCACAAGACCATCCCCACTTCAGACACCCATTGTGAGTCCTGGGTTGTCTGCATGTTTAAAAGTAATTAAGTTTACTTTATGGGTATGAGTGTGTTGCTTGTGCGTATGCATGTGTACTGTGTGCATGCCTTGTGCCCACGTAGGTCAGAATAGGGTGTCATATTCCCTGGGACTAAAGCTGGTGTTACAGATGGTCTCCAGTTACACTATGGGTACTGGGAACTGAACCAGATCTCTACAAAAGCAGCAAGTCTTTTAACTGCTGAGCCAAATCCCCATCTGCATTTCTGAACAATGGCTGTAGATCAGGTTTCCCTCAGGCCTCATACATAATAGACCATGATGGCTCACAAGATTCAGTAAGGCATTTACATATGCTTATCAATTCATTATAAAAACTGTTACAAGAGATTCAGATGAAGAGGGACGTGGAACAGGCACAGAGCTAACAGACCTCGGCCCCACCCTGCTGTGTGCTGGCAGCTTGCTAAGGAGGGAGACTACAGGAGTAATCATTCTGATGGTTTCCTCTCTAAAAGCACACCGAACATTTAGATGTTGTGTGTTAGGCCATCCCCTGAGAGAGGATGCTTCAGGGCCAGCGTTTTGGATGGGCCCTGCAGCTGCTGTTCAGGTACCTCAGGCATGACACCTGGTAGACAGTGCTACTCCCCCTAAAGAGCCAGCCTGCTAGGCAATCCCAGCTCAGTGCTTTGACTACAGGTCCTGGAAAACCCCAAGTCACACAACCCAGGAAGCCTGCTCTGGATTTGGTGAGATCCTCTAGCCTTGAGGGTAACCTGTGACAAAGCCATAACTAACATTCAAACAGTCCATGTCAGAGGTCAACATGACAGAAATTCCAGGGCCAGTATCCAAGGTCATGGGACTCACTCTTCATGGATTTTGAATGATATCCACGACCAGTCTTTGATTTCTCCCACTTCACTTTGAAAGAAGGTTTAAAAAATTGTTCTGAAGAACAGTTTGAGCGGGTTATCTGGGGACAGCTTGAGTGGGCTGTTCTTAGAGTGAAATGCAAAGAACAGTTCCAAATTTCTGTCACCACTTAGATGGCTCTAAGGACTCTGGCATGGAAACTGAGACAGCGTCTTCACTCAAGCTCTTACCTTTCAAGACTCCATTCATGTGCATCCTGTCAGAGCCTCTGGGAAACAAATCAAGACATGTAAAGTCTGGTTTTTATAATCTTCCAGGCCCTGGTTTTGATCTTCCGCACTGCAAGGCAGGGTGAGTGGGTGAATAATAGTTGATTCTTATTCAGTAACTAAAAAAGAGAAAATAATAATAGCAACAACATGAAATAATCTCAAAAAACAATTGCGCCAAAGGAATGAGACATGGGAAGAAACAATCTGTTCTCTTTCCATCTAGATGACGTTTAGCAACAGGAAACCTACGTTCTGGTGCTAAGTCAGAGGCTTCTAGCTTATTTTAGGAGAGGACTTTTCAGTTTTCTAAAAGCAGGAGATGAGGTGATGGAAGGTTTAGGGATCTTAATGCAGTCACACAAGAGAATATGTCTTCAGAATTTACTAGTCAATAAACTCATGTCCATTTCAATAGTTGTGTATAAATAGGCAATGTAAAACAGTGTACAATTCCAAAAGCAAAACACGTTTTTAAAATGGAGCCTTCAGAACACACGAGTAAAGCAATTTCCAATTCGCACGAGTAAAGTATTTCCAAGTACTTTCAGCAACTGCCCTTGAGAAGGGCAAGCCACTGGCACCGGAGCTGGCGCGCATTCTTCTCGACTCACTCTTGTCCTGGCCAAGCAAACTCAGGCTGCACGAGACGGGCCCTGGAGGTTAGAAAAGGCCCAGCAGGGCACAGCAGAGGACAGTAACCACAGCGGCCTGCAGCAGACTGTTCCAGAGTGACTCATGGTCCAGGAATCCCGGAGGCCACCGGAGGAGGACTTTGGCAGCAGAGGGAAACTCAAGAGGAAAAGCATGCTAACAAAGCCCTCCCAGTTTTAGTCTGAGGTGTCTCAAGGGACGCGTGTGCCACAGCTGTAACAGAGGGAGCTCGGTGTTAGCAGGGAGGAGGCTGGGGGAGAGCGTGAAGGCCAATGGGGTGTCCTAGGACGACTGCTCTGAGGACAGAAAAGGCAAGCCCACTGGCCCACAGGTCACGCACCAGCCTTGCAGCACTCCTAACCAAGCTAAAGACCTTTCTGTGGCCCCCTAGGTCTGAGAACCACCCTCCATGGAGTCTTACCGCTGGCTAAATTACGCAAACGTAACTCGAAAGGGGTCTAGAGAGTAAGCTCCGTCTACTTGCGCACTGTTTTTCCAACCTTCTCACAGCTTTCATTGGTGTCTGCAGCTTCCTTATCTCTGAACTCTCCCTTCAAAGAATCCCTTTCAAGCCTTCAAACTCTCCGGGACATCTGTGCGGGTACCTTTCCCTGGGGACATCTTACACCGTCCAGCTGAGTGGCTCTCTGCCTGCCACCTCCTCCCAGCTGAGATTTCCGTAGCCGAGACCACATCCAGCAGCCCCTTGGCTCACTCAGCCTGGACAAGTGCTTGCCTAGTCAGAAGGTCCCCAGATCTTGGAACCTATTTTGTTTTTTTCCATGGTGCATTTGCTGACTTGGTGGAGTCCATTTTCCAGCATTTTCCTGAAAGAGATTCAAAGATGATACATGATTTTTTGTTTGTTTGAGTTTAAGATTTATTTATGATGTGTAGTATTATGGCTGCAGGCCAGAAGAGGGCACCAGATCTTATTATAGAAGGTTGTGAGCCAATATGTCGGTGCTGGGAATTGAACTCAGGACCTCTGGAAGAGCAGCCAATGCTCTAAACCTCTGAGCCATCTCTCCAGCCAGGATGGTCAATGTTTTGAACTTGCGTCTTTGAAATCTTCTTGCTTACTAGAACACTAAGCTTGAAGTCATTTTCCCTCTGGGTGGTAAGGGGAGGTGGTAAGAAGTCTAGACTGCCTCAGTTCTTGATCTCCTTAGTCTCTGAGACTTCAGAGTCTTTTCCTTAGCTACACGATTCAAAAGTTTCATACAGCATCCAGGAACAACTTTTGAATATTTCTCTGAAAACATCTTACCTTTTTATGCTCTTTTTCTGGAACTCGTGTCAGTCAGTTTTGGGCTTCTTGAATCCTAATATTTTCCTTTTTCTATTTCTTAATTTTTAAATTGACTTCCTAGATGATTTGCTTAATTTTATCCTCTAAGCCCTTCTGAAACATTCTGTTTATTTAACTATAGGTGTTCGTGTGTTCGTAAGATGTTTTTCTGCTCCAAGCCCAGCTGCTGCTTTTCTGTATTTATTTATTTTTTTTGTTTGCGTCCATCAAGCTATCCATTCAGCATGTCTAATGACTCATACCTGTCTGCTCACACTTACAGTAAAAGCCATGTGAGGCAGTAGCTGCCTGTCACATCTGCTCTCACAAGACAGGTGAAGTTCAGGGTCAGCAAGACAAGACCCTGTCTCAAAAGAAACAGACAGGCAACAGATAAAGAGGCTGGGACCCACCCCTGAGAGTGAGCTGAGTAGTTTTGCTGTGTTAGATTCTTCTGATTGCTTCCAGGCAGCTTTCCCTGGGGGGCTCTGCCGTCCTCCCCCCTGGAATGTAAAAGCTCAGCTGCTAATTCGCTTCTTTTACAGACATGCAATAAATCCCTACTCACATCTCTAAACTATTTCTGAGCTCCTCGTCTCAGACCATCAGCCTTCCTGCTTCCAACTGTGGTTTCAACTTTGTCTGCCTCCTAACATTGGTTCTACAACTAATCCTAATCCACCTCTTCGTTTCCAGAATTCCACATGTTTCATACCTATCCTGATGACTGTGCCTTGTTAATTATGTAAAACATCTTTACTATCACTTTTTATCATCTTGGAAGGAATGGTAATGAACATGTATTCACACTTTGGGTTTTTGTTTGTTTGTTTGTTTGGTTGGTTTTGGTTTTTTAAGACAGGATTTCTCTGTGGAGGTTGTCCTGGAACTAGCTGCCTCCTGAGTGCTGCTATTGAAGGCGTGCGCTACCACGCCCGGCCACACTTCAGTTTTTAATCTTGAACTTACCATCTGTGTTTCTTGTTGAATCTGGGATAGGTGAGGTGAGGGGTCTAACAGTTTGGTCCCCTGTCTAGTGTAAGCCCTAGCACACTAGACAAACAACAATAAGTACACACATGACACATGTGCACACACGCACTCACAGGCACAAATACACACACACATATACACACACAAATAAAAATAAATGAATATGATAAAAAATTATTTCATAAAGTCATAGAATAATTAGTGACAAGTATATTAACATACATACCAACATACTAATTCAGGACAAGTCATCTGTAACATTCAACACGGTCATTGTGACATGTAGAGTTCTCACCTAAAGTTTATAATAGATTATTATGAATCTCTTTGGTTGGTGGGGCTTGATGTTTCTTGAGACAAGGTCTCATATATCTCAGGCTGCCCTTGAACCCCTGATATTTCTTCCATCACCTCCGAAATGTTAGGGTTACAGCCATTATCACCATGCCCATTTTATTAATCAGTAGAAAAAATAAACTAAATAAGAAATCATCTGCCACGAATGTATGTCAGAAATTCCTTCGGCTGAGATGAAGCTAGGGTTAGAGACTTGCTGAGGCTTCTGGGAAGGCTGGCTGAAGGCCCCAGATCGGGGTGGGTCTGGAAGTCTGGAAGGATTGCTGAGACATCTGGAGTTGGACGGGATGATCCTGGAAAAAGAGACAACTTGGAGAGGAAAGTTATGTTTTGAAACTGGCTTTTCCTTTGGACGACTGTGCACTCTGAGCAGTGCATGAGAGGACAGAAAGCCAGACAATGGCATGAGGAGACACTAAGGTTGAGGAGATGGCAGAACTGTGGCTTCTGGGGCCAGAGAAGCCTTCCGGGCAAAGGTTCTAACAAGCTGTACAGCTCGGTCTGACCAAATTCTGACGCCCATTAAAAATCAAGCAGAGAGCCTCTGAAAATGACTGAGGGCCTTTTTATTTCACTGTTGTTTTTGTTTTGCCTCAAAAGACAGAGCAGAAAAAAGACCCACAGTGAGCACTGAGCCTTGGAAGACCTCAGGTAGAACTCGTCTCCAGAAACAGGCTGAGTCAGAGACAGAAAAGAGCCTTCCAGGGCTTACAGAGCAGTGTCCTCTCCAGGATGTTCTGGCAAAGGTAAAGCTATAGACACTGAAAACAGTGGAAGGTTCCAAGGCTTGGTGACAGGGGGGTCTAGGTGGGCGAGCATAGTGTTAGGGAGGGAAGCTGCTCTGCTCTGCTCTGCTCTTCTCTGCTCTGTGCTTTACGTGATGTGTGTCATTTGACAGAACACACAGTACACACACCAGCCAGAGGGAGGCCAGGGTGGTGAGCTTTGGACCTCTGATGATAGTGATGCAGAGGCATGCTCACTAGTTGTCAAAAGTTCTACTCTGGTGGGCAATGTTGATAGCTGGGGATGGCTGTGTGTGGAAGAATCGCTACAAATCTTCTCAATTTTGCTAAGTCTAAGACTATGCTTTGAAGGTAAAACTATAGAAAGAAAAAGAAAGAGAAAGTAAAAGAAATGAGAGAAAGGAGGAAGGAAGGAAGGAAGGAAGGAAGGGAGGGAGGGAGGGAGGGAGGGAGGGAGGGAGGGAGGGAGGGAGGGAGGGAGGGAGGGAGGAAGGAAGGAAGGAAGGAAGGCAGTCAGGCAGTAGGCAGGCCAACCTTCATTGCACCCTGGGGCTGAGTCCGTCTCTCTCTAGCTGTCCTAAATCACTAATAGAGAAAAGATCCAGAGGGAGGAAAAAAAACAGAATAGACATGTAACCCAGAGACTTTAGCTACCACAAGCACTTTGACAAGACCTAGAATCACCCATGAGGAGCCTCAGGGCACACCCATGAGACTCTGTCTTAATTAAGTCATTTGAAAAGGGAAGCCCCATCCTAAATTCGTTCCTACCTTACATCTCCCTTCTGAGTTCACCTACGAGCGCTGCTGCTGCTGCTGCTGCCACTTTCACCAACACCGCCACCATCACCACCACCACCACCACAGCCACCACCACAGCCGCCACCATCCTTCACTGACATCACAGCCCAGCTCTCTGCCTTTCAACATGAAGTGAAGACGAGTTGCCTCCAGGAACACCCTAGGCCTTAAACACCACAATAGGACTTCCGAGTCATCTAGGTTTGTGGGACTAAGACAGATATCCATGGACTATCCAGACTGCATCATGTAAACCAATTAATCTAACAAATCACCTTTAACATGTCTATTCTGATGGTTCTGCTCCTCTGGAGAACCCTGACTAGTACAAACAGCAACTATGACGTGTGTGTGTGTGTGTGTGTGTGTGTGTGTGTGTCGGTGTAAAAAATACAAGGTATGTCATTGCTTAAAAGCAAATATATATTTGGAGTACAATATATACCAAGAGGGTGTAACAGCTTATCACATTCTGAATGTCCATTGTCTATCAGGCATTGTCCTAAGTGCATCTAATTTCTTACAACTCTCCTGTGAAATACTATTACTGTCCCCTCTTTACGAACAAGGAAGTACAAGAGGGTTGGTCCGTGGCCATTATTTTGAGAAGCAGATGGTACTGGAGCAGGAGCTTTCATCCTGATCTGTAGGCAGCAGCTGATGTAATGCTAAGAACCTGTCTGCACAGCAGACCTCTGGGAAGTGTCCCCTCTGAGCTTTTCCTCCCCTTGTAGTCCTCAAGTCCCCGAAACTCATCCCTCATCCTTTCTCCAACGTAGTATCGCATCTCTACATACTCTCTCCTCCATGAAGAAGCCAGGCTTGGAGTTCGCTATCACGGGCTTCTGTAACAGCTTTTAGTGATGCTGCTAACTGCCTATACATCCACCAATGGTCCCAAGGAGATCCTTGCATGAAGCCTCCGTTGAGTCCATAGCTTTGAGTGGGGGAGCACACGGCGCAATGGTGAAATGTTAGCTTCACTCTGCTGGGCCATCAAAGGTGCTGAATGGAAACTCTGATTTCCCATCCCTTAAGTAATTCCCTGACTGAAAACCACAGAGCATTGCAGAGGGGCGTTTTCAGACCCAAGGCATTTCTCCAAGACCATCAGTGGAGACAAGAAGAGCACAGGCATACGCCTGGTGGGCAGTCTGCCCAAGGAGGAGCCCCACGACCTCACATTTTCCCTAACAACGCAGAAAGCAAGTATTCAACACAGAAAGGGGATCCTCGGAGGAAGGGCATGGTGCCGAACTCTCTAATTACTTCCAGCTCAGAGCAGAACTCAAGACAGCCATCTTAAAGCCTCACGCTGAAAGCGGAGTCTCATCACAGAAATGCCAGACCAGCACACGGTCTTTACAGCAGGGCAGAGTCTGCCAGGGGCTGGTTGCTTTTGGTTTTACTGATAAGGACAAATACAAGCCACCACTTTATCTCAAATCTAACAGTATTTTATTATCTTTCTTTTCCAAAGATAATCCTGGTAATAAAATAATGGGCTGAGTGACTAATGACAGCATAAATCGTATCTCAGAAGATATCACTGTCACCTTAGCAGTGGAGACCTCATTCAATCCATGGTCTATAGTCTGGAGCAGCCTTGGACCTTTTCACTCATTCAAGGACCCCTTTATCTCCCTAAGGGAAAAAGATCCCAGAAAAAGCCATCATTGCTTTATTAGTCTGTCCACGGTACCAGACACTGGCCTCTTGTTCTCACAATGACTCGGGAACATTCTTTTAGGTATGTGTGCGTCGCCTGCCAGGTCACAAGCCTTTCGAGGATTTGGACTGTGTCATACTCGTCATTCTTAGCCAGTTCAGCATGTGTTTGTTGACAGTGGGGCTGTATTGGTTAAGATACCCTTCTTCCAACTATGTCCCTTTACAAATAATTCATTTTGCTTTCACCTCAGCCCATGAAGTTAATGAGAGAGCCTCCTTCACAAGCTTGTTGAATATGCTATGATGCAGTGTGTGTTCACCCTGGCTGTTCCTGCCGATACGACCATTATTTCTAGGCAGCACTGAAACACCACTCATAATGCTGGAAGAACTGCCCCCTGAGCTCATGGTTCTCTGTAAACAGAGCCTCGGGCTCTGGGGACAGGGGTGTGAGCTAGACCTATGCCGCATGACGTACAGACAAGACAATTCTACGTCAGGTGCTCTGTTGTCCAGGAATGGAGCTTGCACTGCGTATGTTTCTGTGCCTTAAGATCTGACTTTATTTCATCTTCATATGTGGGAAGTCATTCTTACTATTCTAATTCTTGAAGATGAGGAAAATGAGACAGAGGTTAAACTGCTGAGAATCACACCCTAGGACGTGAGTCACTGGCCACAGATCCCATGATTTTTCTTCAAGCTGTAACAGACAACAAACGAAGCACAGGATGGGCATTAAATGTTTCCTGGGGTTGTGTCCAATTCATCCTCCCGAGTCACCAGTATCTCCAGGCCTCCTTGGCTGGTGTTGTTCCTGAAGGACCAGGAGCAGTGCTCCCCAAACAATGTGATTGCTGGGGTTCCCTCAAATCATCAGCAAATCTGCTGGAATCACTTCTGAAGGTACAGAATATAATTCCTTCTTAAAAGACTATAAGCCAAGCCATTATTCGATATTATCCAGTCATAACAAAATAATAATGCATAAAACTTCCCCTGGCAGTCTCTGTAAAAATCATACTGCATTGAGCCACTAAACGTAAATGAGGGGTCTCCGTATATTTAGAGACCACCATTAGTCACGAATCACTTATCAAACAGACATGAAAATAGCCAAGTGTTTTTAAATTTCATCAGAGTGAGGTAGGGGAAAGTTGCTTCCGGCCGAGGGAGGGCGGAGGAAGGCGACAGCAGCCCAAAGCGTGAAGGATAGCCCCTGGCAACAAGGAATTACCCAGCCCCAGCGCCAGTGGCGCCCACGCCGAGTAGCTGGGACGCTGCATTTCCCACTAGACAGCAAGCAAAGTCCTAAGAAGTTCTCTCTGCTCAACCTAGACCCCAACCAAGGTGACAGACATTTCCACGTCAGAAGCCTGAGCCCCGTGTCGGTGACCTCCATCTTGCTTCATAACATGCTGTTAAGGAGGTACTGTCGGGCTGGAGGAAAAGTAGGCAGGGTCAGGGTCAGAGAAGTAATGGTATCACTTTAAAAATAAGCCTGCGTTAATGGATAATTTAATAACCAGAGCAGTCGGGCTGTTTGTAAGGTCTGCCCCTCCTTCCCATAGGTGCACAGAGCCAACCGCTAATGCGTTCATTAGCCATGTTTACTTAGTAGTGGTAACAGCCGCGGTCACGACTGAGCATTTGCTAACTGCCTGACGTGAGTCACCTCGGCAACGCACTGTTAATCCTGTGCCCTCTCCTCTCCCCCGCTTCCCAAGGGGGCTGTGTCCTCTCTTGCTGGGGACGCATCTCTATTAAGCTAGGAAGCGGGAAGCAGCGCCACCTGGCGGAGTAGGCGGGTAGGAGGGTCGGTTTACAGAACGTGCAGTGTGTGCAGACTGGAGGCGGTCTGTGGTCCTGTGCTGCTCCTGCCGCTTAGGTCCAAGGGAGCTCAGGACAGCGGCGAACTGTGGTGCCTGCTTAGCTCACAAAAGCAGGCACCGGCCGCCAGGCTCTCTCAGCACCGCAAGTGCGGGACACAAGCAGAGCCCAGGCTCTTCTCAGCACCCCATCGCCTCCCCTCCACCCTGACCTCCCGTGCCCACCCTAAACCGCTCCAGCCTCTCTCTGCGCGCTTCCCTTGCCCAGCTTCTGCTTCCTGTATAACCCAGCCATTTGGGCCACGCTTTCTCCTGGCTCCTCTGTGTGTCCTCTTGGTTTGTTTGTTTGCGTTTGTTTTTGTTTTAACCTCTCCTGGTCCCCTCTCTCTTCTCTTCCACTCTTGCTCTTCATAACCCCCACCCTCTCCTCACGTGACCCTGGCTTCTTCTGCTGGCCATGTTCGGTGTGGACTCTTCCTGACGCCTCTGGCTGTTCTCTCCCTCACATCTGCAATAAACATCTTCTCAACCGGAAGCCGCCATGTCCTCACGTTCACTCACTGCCCCCAAGGAGTGTGCAAAGAAAAATAAATTATATTGCTATTTTTTCACAAATGCTCACATTTTCACAAATGCTCGGGTAAAATCAGGTGCTCCATTTTTCCCAGGGAATCAAGATCTGAGAAAAGGGATTCCTGCCTTGTTTGGCAGCTTTGAGCCAAGAAGAGCCGCTGAGACAAGTTCGGTGACTTCCTCGGGCCCTGCCAAGAGACAAGCTTTCAGCTGAGCCCCGGAAGCCAGAAGGAACCGCACTATGTGTCCTCTGTAAACGGTTCCCAAGACTCTCGGATGCGGCCCACTGGGCCTCTGCTTGACTTTGGCCACCTCGTTTGTCTGATGACCCCTGTGTCCTGGGCGAGCATCCGTGGCTCCCCGCGTTCTGGAGACACCCTGCTGAGGAGACAGGCGTTTCAGACCCAAGATTCAGGATGTACAGCTTTCGCTGGGAGGCAAGAGGCCCAGGCAGAGTGTGGTCAGTGTTGGAGCCGAACCCTTTGCCCTGGCCCGCAAGAGACCCCGGTGAGATGTCGCCCCCTAGCGGCTTCCTAGAGTCATGACTCAGGTTCCCTTTCTAAGCTACCACATCCCCTACAGAACCCCAGTGTGTAGGTTACAGCAGGAATCTAGCAACATCGAGTAGTTTATGACTGTTTTTTAAACCCCGAGCGAAGAAATTACTAATAATTGACTTTTATAACGTCTAACCAAAATATTCTAGAGATAAAAGTTGTGTATTCATAGGAAAAAATGTTTTTTTTAACTTTAAAAATACATGTAGTGTGGATCTCAGCATGTGGGAGGCAGAGGCAGGAGGATTTCTTAGTTTAAGGCTAGCTAGATCTACATAGCAAGTTCCAGGCCACTTAGGAGACAAATGAAAGTGTCTGGAAGTGGGGCGTGGCATAGGGTCTGGGGAGGTAAGTGGGCGAGACCCTTGTCGTGCAAGCGTGAGGACTAGAGTTCAGATCCTCCACCTGTAGCCCCAGAGCCGAGACGGCAGAGAGGAGATCCCTGTCTAGCTCAAGGAGGAGACACTGCCTCGCAATGTAAGCTGGAAAGGGACGAGGCAGACACTGACGTCACTCTCTGACCTCACGTGCACATGGGCAGTGCGATCTGCACATACACACACATCTGCACCCACACACATACTAATGCCTATACACACCTCATTCACACATACAAAGAGGATAAAATACGTGTGTGTTCAGGAGTACAGGATTCTCAGCAGCCTCCACGTGAGGAATGCTTGGGTTGAAACTTGTAATTTTTTTTTTTTTTTGCCAAGAGAACAAGACTTTATTGACGTTCAATGCGCAAAACCAAACTGCCAGCTGAATATTAGGATAAAGAAATGACTTTATAAACATTCAGAATTAAAAGTTAACCCTATTGGCTAGTGAGGAAATCCAGTGGGAGAGGACCCTGGTGCAATTCCTGCCCCCCCCCATGAGAGATTTTAGATAATTAACACTCAAATAATTCTGGCTGAGACAGCCCAGGAATAGATCTCAGGTGTTGTCACTCACACCAAGGCAGAGTTCCCACTGTAGCTGGAACTGGCATTAACTAATGTCTGGAGGGTTAGTGAACACTCTAGGAAATGACAGGGGGGTGTCTGGGAGTGGTGCTCCCGGGGGAAACTTGTAATTTTTAAAAGCAGCACTTGACAGAAAGATGCCATGCGACAGAGATTGGGTGGAGGGGTTTTCTAATGGGGGAAGTGAACGGGAAAGGGGGAGGGGAGAAGGGAGATGGGCCTCTGGGAACAGAAGAGAAGGGGGGAGGAGAGAGAGAGAGAAGGAAGGAGGGAGGGAGGGAGGGAGGGAGGGAGGGAAGGAAGGAGGGAGATCAGAGACAGGCAGAGAAGCAGAAAGACAAAGAAGGAGAAGGCATGGCCCTTTAGTGAATGTGCACAAGAGGTGATCTTAGTGGCTGCAACGGAGGACAATCGGGTCAGGACCCCGAGGACAGGCCAGTACAGATGCCTGAGTATTAACAGAAACAAAATGAAACACTTAAACATTCCTTTGTATAGTAAAGGAATTGTTAATTACTTTAACCATCTTTGGTTATTCCTTTGTGTAAATTTTACTTTGTTTTGCTCCTGCCTTAAACTGTATTTAAAATAAATGAAATCACATATATTTTTGTTACAGATGCTCCAACTTAGGAAGGCCCATTTGAGAGAAACCCAGCCGAAACCCACCACCTGTTTTCACTGCATTTTTATAAAGTGATTTTCACACTTCTGCTTGAAATGACTAGTAGCAAAATATTTTAACCTTTTTGTCTTCTGAAAATATTTATGTTTTAGAATTCTTACAGTCACTTCCCTCTTTTTACGTCTTTTCTTTTTTTAGGAAAAGAAGCAAGTATATCCCATGGGGCATAGCACCATGTGCCTGCAATCCCAACGCTGGAGGCAGGAGCATCAGAAGCACAGGGTCGTTTTTTACTACATAGCGTCTAAAGCAGCCTGGGCTACATGAGACCCGGCCTAAAACAGACACACAAGCCAAGAACTCACCTAGCCTATTTTTACCGGCTGTGCTTGGGCAGCCCAAGGGGTTCCAGGCGCTGAGTCAGCAGTGCTGTGTTCACACATTCACTCCTCGGCTGCTGTGCAGGCTGTGGGCCCAAAGCTTCTGGCTTTCTTTAAAGAGAGAGAAGGAAAGAATTATAGTCCCAATAGGATGGCTTGCCACGCCTTCTCTCTCAGGGCCCTTCCAGACACCAGATGCACCATAGAGGTGACGACCTGGGTCCTTGTTGCCAATGCCCCTGGATTGGTGTGGACAACAATGCTCTCAAATGCTCCGCTGCCATCTGCATAAGGGCTCAAGCAGCCAGACAGCCACCCCTGCTGGCAACACTAAGGACCTCATATTTGCCATTTCACGTCTTCTGCAAAGTTTTGGTGTCCTTATGTTGCTGAAGATCAAGGCCAGGGAGCAATGCAAGGGTTCTACCACCCCTGTGTCTGTCCTTAAATGCCCTCTCTGCATGGCTTTGGGTGACTTCAGGGTAGCTCTGTGGCTGAATTTCTCCCACACTCAGACTGCTGCATTCCTGGATCTTTTCCTCATGCCCGAATTCTGAGCATCATGTGCTAGGATTCATGCAGGTTGGTTGATCTCCTTAATGTCTGGTGGTCTCCACTTCCCCATGCTCACTTGTGAGCTCACACCCACGCTTTGAATGGTATCTACATATTCGTAACTGCTGAATACAGAATTCTAAACCCGTTGTGCAGGCGTTGGTGGTGCACACCTTTAATTCCAGCACTCGGGAGGCAGAGGCAGGTGGATCTCTGTGAGTTCGAGACCAGCCTGGTCTACCGAGTGAGTTCCAGGACACGGTCCAAAACAATACAGAGAAACCCTGTCTCGAAAAACGAGAGAGAGAGAAAAAAAAAGAACTTCCTTAAAGGGATGAAAACTGTATAGATAAACAGAACTACATTAATCTAAACCCGTTGTGTTGACACCTGCCCTCCTGCTGTTACCCACAAACCTCCTCAATATTCTCCCTCTTACTGAGTGCCAACCGAAGCTTCCCAGATGCTCAGGCCATGATATAGAGCTGTCCTTGACAACTGTCTCCCTCATATCCCGCATCGGCAGATCAAAATGTACGCTGTAGAATTAGACTCCTGCTGAATCTGCCACATGAAACAATTCTAAGAGGCTGTTTTGACGTGGGGCATATTGGGGATGGTACCTCTGGAAGCTCCAAGTCTGCTCATCATTGTCACTGGTCTTAATTTGCTATCTCCATCTTTTAAATTAAATTGTTTGTTTCTATTTTCTGAGACAGGGTCTTGGGTGTCCCAGGCTGGCGTCGGATTCTGGCGAAGCCAAGAGTGATCTTGAACCCCTGCCCCTCCTGCCTCTACTTCCCAACTGCTGGGATTACAGACATAGACCATCACACCTCGGTTTAGTACTGTCACCTTGAGCTGTGTTGTAAAATGTTCTAGAAGCTGGTGCCTCTGCCCCTTTGTTGCCCGATCCTCCTAGTACTCAACTTGCTGTCACCACAGATGTTGGGACTGGGTTTGTAGCTCCACGGGTAGAGTGCTCACCTGGATGCCTGAAGCCCTGGATTCAATTCCCAGCACCACATAAACTGGGTATGACTGTAATTTCAGCATTTCCATGGGGAGGAATGACAGTTCAAGCTCATCCTGAGCTACATAGAAAGTCAAGGCCAGCCAGAGTTACATAAAGCCCTCTCTCAAAAAGGGCTTGAGATATAGTTCAGGGATTACATGCCCTCACAGATGTGTCTCACAGAGGTCCAACGCCACAGAAATGCTTCTTTCATCTTCATCTTTCATATAAGGGTGAGAGAGGAGTCACGATGTCAGTGCTAAGCTGCATTGGTTTTAAGCACTGCCTCTCTCCCTGGGGAGGAGCAGACAGCAGTAGGTAAAGGAAATTCATGAACTATATCTGAGTCATGGTGAGATCACTTCTGTTGGGAAAAAATGAGGGAGAAAATTGAAATTCTTATGAAATTGGCACCCTGGCCAGACTTCAGACATAATGGCACAGTCTAACTCATACGGCCAGCTGACACAGAGACAATGTTGCCATGACTACTGAGGATAGCTGTTGGGAAAGCTGCTATCCAATGTCCTGTCTGTGTTGAAGAACCAGAGGTTGGGCGTGGCAGCCTCTCGCTTCACCTCATAGCTCAAGGATACAGAGGAACCCTGCAGAAGGACATGGGAACCACACACGCAGGGAAGGCAAAGGGCCTTACTTTCAAACATCAGGCAGGGCAATCAGAAGTGAAGGAGTCTGGCTATTAGGAATGGATGAGGTGAGCTGAGTCTCAGCCCAATGGGATTAGCTGTGGGCAGATGCACATGAACCTGGACGAAAACCACTGAGGCAGATACGCTTTGTTGGGGGAGAAGTGGCTGACAGTCCAGGTGGAAACCTGTGGAGCCCCTTCAACTGCAGCCTTTCCTAGCTACACCATGCTGTGCCCACTGGGATGGTGAGTACCCTGACACCCCAGGAAGCCAGATGTGTTGACAGTGGGGATCTACAAGGCACCAGCCACAACAGCGACAGCGAGGCTGCATGTCTGTCCCTTCGGCCAGCAGCAGTGTCCCTGACCTCCCCACCAGCTACCCCATCAGGGCCGCATCTGTCTGCCTATTTGACAACCACCAGACTCTTTATCTTTCTGTAGCCAAAAGTTCCCACACTGGTCACGTTTATCTCTCAGCAGCATCATCTCCTTTGAATGTATGAAATAGCTTGCCGATTATAGCAAGTGTTGATTCTCTGTCTTCCTGCTCTAAGCTAACCAACCCCCACAGAGGTGTGTAGATGCTCAACTGTTTTGTTCATGCATGCACTCACTGCACAAGCCACAGCCATGTAGGTACTCAGAGCATTTGCTGGATAAATTAAGAAACCTGACCATTAGCCAGCTACTAATTGGCTAGATAAATGGCCTGGTTTCATATTTTATTTTTTTATAATCTTTTCCTTTTTAAAAATTTACATTAGAAACAAGTTTGCTTTAGATGAAAATTCCAGTTCTCTCTCCCTCCCCTCTTCCTCTGCCCCCCAAACCTCTATCCCATCCCCTTTCCACTTCCCAGGGAGGGTGGGGTCTTCCATGGGGGATCTTCAAAGTCTTTCATATCATTTGGAGCAGGGTCTAGACCCTCCCCTGTGTGTCTAGGCTGAGAGAGTACCCCTCTATGGGGAAGGGGCTCCTGATGTCCATTTGTACACTAGGGATAAATGTTACCAGAGGCCCCATTGACTGCCCAGGTCTCCTAACTGACACCTATGTTCAGGGGGGTCTGGTTCTGTCCTATTCGGGTTTCCGAGCTGGCCGTCTGGGGTCCATGAGCTCCCCCTTGTTCAGGTCAGCTATTTCTGTGGGTTTCCCCAGCCTGGTCTTGACCCCTTTGCTCATCATTCCTCCCTCTCTGCAACTGGTTTCCGGGAGTTCATCTCAGTTTTTAGCTGTGGGTGTCTGCTTCTGCTTCCATCAGCTACTGGATAAATGTTCTAGAATGGCATATAAGGTAGTCATCAATCTCATTATCAGAGAAGGGCATTTAAGGTAGCCTCTCCACTATTGCTTAGATTGTTAGTTGGGGTCATCCTTGTAGATCTCTGGACATTTCCCTAGTGCCAGATTTCTCTTTAACCCTATGATGGCTCCCTCTATTATGGTATCTCTTTTCTTGTTCCCCTCTGTTCTTCCCTGACTCAATCTTCCTGCTCCCTCATGACCTCCTCTCCTCTCCTCTTCTCCCCTTCTCTTTATCCTAACTCCCTCTCCCCTCTTCCTGTGCTCCCAATTTGCTCAGGAGATCCTGTCCATTTCCCCTTCTCCAGAGGACCATGTATGTCTCTCCTTGTTTTCTAACTTCTCTGGAGGTGTGGATTGTAGGCTGGTAATCCTTTGCTCTATGTCTAAAATCCATATATGAGTGAGTACATACCATATTTGTCTTTTTATGACTGGGTTACCTCACTCAGAATCGTTTCTTCTAGTTCCATCCATTGCCTGCAAATTTCAAGATTCCATTGTATTTTTTCTGCCGAGTAGCACTCCATTGTGTAAATGTGCCACATTTTGTTTATCCATTCTTCAGTTGAGGGGCATCTAGGTTGCTTCCAGTTCTGGCTATTACAAAAAAATGCTGCTATGAACATAGTGGAACAGATGTTCTTGTTGCATGAATGTACATCTTCTGGGTATATGCCTAACAGTGGAATTGATGGATCTTGTGGTAGACTGATTCCCATTTTCCTGAGGAATCTCCATACTGATTTCCAACAGGCTGTATGAGTTGGCACTCCAACCAGCAGTGGAGGAGTGTTCCCCTTTTCCACATCCTCTCCAACATAAACTGTCTTTGATGCTTTTGATTTTAGTCATTCTGACAGGAGTAAGACGGTATCTCAGAGATGTTTTGATTTGCATTTCCCTGATGGTTAAGGATGTTGAGCACTTCCTTAAGTGTCTATCAGCCATTTTTTTACTCCTTTATTGAGAATTCTCTAGTTCTATACCCCACTTTTTAATTGAATCATTTGGTGTTTTGGAGACTTGCTTCTTGAGTTCTTTGTAAATTTTGAAGATCAGCCCTCTGTCAGATGTGGGGTTGGTGAAGATCTTTTCCCATTCTGTAGCTGCCTTTTTGTCTTGCTGACTGTGTCCTTTGCCTTGCAGAAGCTTCTAGGTTTCAGGAGGTCCCATTTATTAATTGTAGATCTTAGTGTCTGTGCTATTGGTGTGTTATGTTCAGAAAGCAGTCTCCTGTACCAATTCATTCAAGGGTACCTCCCATTTTCTCTTCTCAGAGTTTAAGTGTGGCTGGATTTATGTTGTGGTCTTTGATACATTTAGATTTAAGTTCTGTGCATGACGACACATGGATCTATTAGCAGTCTTCTACATGCCAGCATCCAGTTATGCCAGCACCATTTGTTAAAGACTATTTCTTTTTTCCATTGTATAATTTTTAGCTTCTTTGTCAAAAATCAGGTGTTTGTAGGTATGTGAGTTAATATCAGGGTTTCAATTCAGTTCCATTGATCTACCTGTCTATTTTTGTACCAATACCAAGCTGTTTTCAGGACTATGGCTCTATAATATAGTTTGAAGTCAAGGATGGTGATGCCTCTGATGTTCCTTTATTGTACAGGGTTGTTTTAGCTAACCTTTTGTTTTTCCATATAAAGTTGATTATTTTTCTTTCAAGGTTTGTGAAGAATTGTGCCAGTATTTTGATGGGGATTGCATTTAATCTTTGGATTGCTCTTGGCAAGATTGCCATTTTTACTATGTTGATCCTACCTATCCAAGAGCATGGGAGATCTTTCCATTTCCTGGTGTCTTCTTTAATTTCTTTCTTTAAAGACTCAAAGTTCTTGCTATGCAGGTCTTTCACTTGTTTGGTTAGTGTTACCCCCAAGATATTTTATGTTGTTTGTGGCTATTGCAAAGGGTGATGTTTCTCTGATTTCTTTCTCAGCACATTTATCATCTGTTTATCATAGGGTTACTGATTTTTTTTTTTTTTTTGCTAATCTTGTATCCTGCCACTTTGCTGAGGTGTTTATCAGCTGTAGGAGTTTCCTGGTAAAGTTTTTCTTGTCACTACGTAAACTATCATATCATCTGCAAATAGTGAAAGCTTGACTTCTTCCTTTCCAATTTGTATCCCCTTGATGTCCTTTTGTTGTCTTATTGCTCTAGCTAGAACTTCAAGTACAATATTGAAGAGATATGGATCCAGTGGACAGCCTTGTCTTGTTCCTGATTTTAGAGGAAGCACGCTGAGTTTCTCCCAATTTACTTTGATGTTGCTTGTTGGTTTACTATATATTGCTTTTATTATGTTTAGTGTGTTTCTGTTATCTCTGATCTCCCCAGGACCTTTATCATGAAGGGGTGTTGGATATTGTCAGAGGCTTTTTCAGCATCTAGTAAGAGGATCATGTGGTTTTTCTTTTTCAGTTTGTTTATATGGTGGATTACACTGACAGATTTTTGCATGTTGAACCATCCCTGCACCCATGGGATGAAGCCTACTTGATCATGTTGAATGATATCTTTGATGTGTTCTTGCATTCGATTTGCCAGTATTTTGTTGAGTACTTTTGCATCAATGTTCATGAGGAATATTGGTCTGTAGTTCTCTTTCTTAGCTGTGTCTTTGTGTGGCTTGGGTACCAAGGCAATTATAGCCCCATAAAAAGAGTTTGGCAATGACCCTTCTGCTTCTATTGTGTGGAACAATTTGAGGAGTATTGGT